AGCCGGGGGGGTGCCCCGGAGGGGGCGTCCCCCCTGCCCCCTGCCGGTGGCCTTGCTGTCTGGCGGATCCGCGGAGGGAGGAGGGAGGGGGGCGGCCCGGGGCGCGAAGGGCGGCGGCGGCGGGGACCGGCTGGGACGGCGGGGGGTTTTGAAGCCACCCAGGCCCCACCCAGGAAGCGCGCGGGGCGGGAGCGGCCCCCAGGGGGAGGGCATGGGGAGGCCGGGCTACCTTTCTCATCTCGCGTGGGCAGGCTCCGAGGGGGGTCCCTTCAGCAGCGGGGAGGGGGCGGGCACCCCGGCTCCACCCCACAAACAGGGTGCTGCCTCCTGGCGGCCGAGCGCTACAAAAGCGGGTGACCGAGATGAGCCATGGTTTTGGGGACTGTGTGGGGTCACCAAGAGAATGAGGACTTGGCAGGGAGGACTTAGAGGATGGGGACCCAGAATGGGAAGAGAGTGTGAGGCTGGGGCAGATGATAGGGCAAGAGGGTCTGCAGAAGATGGGGGCCTGAGGAGAAAGGGTGCCGGTGGGAGAACAGGGCAGTAGGGCAGCTGACAGACGAAGGCATCAATACCTGTAAGAATTGCTCTCCTTTATTGAGTCCCTCCCATGTCCTAAGCATCCTCTTCTCACCCAACTCCCTGTGACCCTGCACATACACTGTCCCCATTTTACACACAGGGAAACTGAGCCCAGAGGAGCAGTTACTGAGCTTGAGATCCTAGCAAGGACAGACCATGCTTTGGCTGGGGTCAGGTCTGACAATCTCCAGAGCCCATGCTCTCGACCACTGTGCCATCCTGCCCCACAATGGGTTTCCAGGGGTAGGAGCTTTTGGAGGCAGAGTTCCTCAGCACTCAACGCCATAGCGGTCGAAGTGGCGTAGCAGCAGGCCGAGTTCAAGGTGCACAGTGCCACCAGCAGCCGTGTGCAGGCGATAGCGGTCTGCCCCACTGTAGATAGTGTCCCCATGCAGCAGCTGTGGCCCACCACCTACGAAGGCCCGTGCCAACTGCTCCCGCCAGCTGCCTAGGGGCCGCCATGTGGGGCAGTCCAGCTGGTGAGTGCCCGGGCTGCTGGGCACATGGCAAAAACCGTAGCCTGCAAGCTGGCATCGGCCAAAGCTGTCCTGAGACCACACCTGGAGATGGAGCCGAGGCCAGCCTGCAGGACAGGAGGGAGAGATGAAAGGAGGGATGGGTGGGGCCCAGCCTCCTACTCCTGGATCCCCACCTCTTTGATACCTACTGGAGATTCCAGATCTGGTACTTTCCACCCAGTTTCTGCTCCTGGGTTTCTGCCCCAGCCTCCTCTCTGGGCTCCTACTCCTTGATGCACCCCCATACAACAGCCAAAGGGATTTTTCTAAATCCATATTACTCCCCTGCTCAAAAGCCTTCCATGGCTCCCCAGTGCCCTCAGTATAAAGTCCAACCTCTTCAACCTTCAAAACCCTTGGGATCCAGCCTCTGCTGACTTCCCTCTCTGTGGCCTCCTCCTCCACATCCCCATGTCAGGGCAGCCCACTGCTCCTCCAGTCCCCAGGTCAGCGTCTTGGGCCTTGTCAGGGATGCCTCCTGCCTTCCCTCCCCATGACCCACCCTGTCCTCCTCTCTGGGCTTAGGGCCTTCTTTCTTGTCCCCTCCAATCCACCTTCCACCTGGCAGCCGGAAGCATCTTTTTCCCCTTCCATATGTTTGCCAGTGTCCTCAATACAGTTCATCTCAGCCTGGTAGTCAAAGCCCTTAGTGATCCAGCCCCATCTCATCCTCCTTTCTGATCCCATCCTCTGTGGGAGGCCCTGTTCTAGGAGCTGGAGACACAGCAGTGAACACAGCAGATAAAAATTCCTGCCCTTGTGAAGCTGACATCCTAGACAACCAACATAGTAAGCAAATTATAGGTTATGTCAGATGGTGATACCTGCTCTGGAGAAAAATAAACCTAGGTAGGGTGGGGGTAGGGATAGTTTCAGAAAGGAGATGACCAAGGAAGCTTCACTAAGAAGTTGACATTTGAGCAAATGCTAATAGGTGGAAAGGGAACGGGTCATGTGGACATCTAGGGGAAGAGTGCTCCCAGTCAGAGGGAACAGCTAGTGCAAAGGACCCCAGCTGGGAGTGTGCCTGGTGGAGCCAGTGTGGCTAGATCAGAGTGAGAGAGGGAGAGAAGGGGAGGAGGTGACAACCAGATCGTGCAGAGCCTCCTGATGTATGGCAAGACTTTGGCTTTTACCCTGAATGAGACGGGGACCACCAGAGAGTTCTAAGCAGAGGAGAAATGTGATCTGACTTAGGTGTTCACAGGGTCCCACTGGCTGTGTGTGGGGTGCAAATTACGGGCGTTGGGAATAGAGGATACCAGTGAAGAGGCTACTGTAATTGTCCAGGTGAGAGATGAAGCCGGACAGATTAGGGTGCTGGGCAAGAAAGGGATTTAGGATGCATTTCAAAGGTAGAGCCAGCAGGATTTCTTGATGGACAGAATGGGGGGTTGAGAAAAGAGAAAGCAAGAATGATGCTGACATTGGGGGACTGGGGGCCTGAAGAGCCGAAAGGACAGAGCTGCCTGCCTCACTGTCTAATCAATCCATCACCCACCCAGCAGCCAGAGGTACTTTTCTTTTTCGAGTCAAGTGAAGCAGTGGGAGTGGAGAAGGAACAAAGAAATCTGTTAACTGGTCATGATCAATTAGTTGTAAACACCACTGCACTCGGACCCACCAGTCCTTTATTTATTTATTTATTTATTTTTATTGGTGGCTGGCTGGTACAGGGGATCCAAACCCATGACCTTGCTGGGTTTTTTTGTTTGTTTTTTTAAAAAAGATGATGGGTAAGGGGATCTTAACCCTTGACTTGGTGTTGTCAGCACTGCGTTCTCCCAAGTGAGCTAACCGGCCATCCCTATACAGGGATCCGAACCTGTGGCCTCGGTGTTATCAGCACCCCTCTCTCCAAAGTGAGCCACAGGCCAGCCCTTGACCCTGGTGTTTTAAGGCTATGCTGTAGCCAACTGAGCTAACCAGTCAGCCCCAGAAGGATCTTTTTTCTTAAAAGATGACCGGTAAGGGGATCTCAACGCTTGACTTGGTGTTGTCAACACCACGCTCAGCTAGTGAGCGAACCGACCATCCCTATATAGGATCTGAACCCGTGGCCTTGGTGTTATCAGCACCGCACTCTACCGAGTGAGCCACGGGCCAGCCCTCAGAAGGATCTTTTAAAAGTGAAATCTGTCTTGTCCACTGTCTGCTCTGGCTCCCCAAATGAATTCAGGAGATGGCCTCAGCTCCTTGGCCTGGCATTCAAAGCCTTGCATGGCCTGTCCCCTGATACCTCAGCCTCTGCTGTCCTCCCACTCTCCCTCTGTCTTCCAAATACCCCAGGTTCACTCTCCCTTTCACATGCAGCTCTCTCTGCTGAGAATCCTCTTCCATCCATCTACCTTATTAGCTCCTACTGGCTCCTCACAGCAAAGTTCAAATGCCCCCTCCTCCAAAAAGCCCTCTATGACCTCCCTGACAGGGTCAGCCACCACTTCTGGGCTCTCACAGCCTCCTGCAATCCTCCATCCGAGCCCTGCCCACTCTTGGCTGCCACTGTCTGGAGACAGGTCTGTCTCCCCCATGGGATGGTGAGACCTGTGAGCACAGGGCCAGCGGCTGTCTTGATCACAGACATCTCCCTGGCATCATCCAACACAGGCTGGGCACAGGGCAGGCACTCAGTATTATTTATATTACTGAATATATGGCACATTTACCTAGGCTATTTCCCAGAATCTACTCTCCTTCAGTAACCCACATTTTCTACCAAAAAATGTTATCTGATATTCCACCTCCCCCGAATACTCATTTCCCCTGTGAGAAGCACTTCTGCTTTAAAGCTGAGGAGCCCTTCCTGAAGAACAGCAACCAGTCCTTGCCTCTCTCTCTTTCTCATAACCCCCCTCCCAGTTTCCTCCTTATTGGAGCCTCTCTTGATTTGTCTCTCTTTTTTAAAAATTTTATTTCTTGGATTGTCTCTTTACCAAGGTCACCTCCCCTTCCACCCATCTTCCCTTCTCCCCTACCATCCCTGGCCTCTGCTCCACTCCCACACACTAGGGATCTCCTGTACAGTAGGCCTGGGAAGGCCTCAGCCTTTCCAGGGCCAGGCTTGGCTGGGAAAGGGACCCATAAGGTATGTGGAGCAGGGACAGGACTTGGTGTTCCCAGCCTCAGCAGCTTCAGGTGCTACTGGCCCCCCTCCCCTCAGCTTGGACCAGGGCCCAGACCTGGTACCCACCTTGGAGGCCTTTGGTGGCGAAGTGCAGGTCAATGGGGTGGGACCAATAGGCCATATCCCCTACCTGGGGGGTATCCACCTGCGTTTGGCCCTCCCGCACACCCGACAGGAGCTTCCATGCCACCCCTGCAGTGAGAGCCGGGACACAGACGGGGTACAAAGTGGTGAGAGGCAGTCATCAGGAAGGGGATGCTGCTATGGCTGTAGGACTCTTTCTCCCTGGCATTTGGAGGTAGGGGTTACAAAGTGTGGACTCTGGAGTCAAATATCTGGGTTCAAATCTTGGCACTACCTTGGGCAAGTTACCTTTCTCTGCCTTGGTCTCCCCACCTGTAAAATGGGTAAATAATAATGCATTCCTCATAGTTTTATAAGAAGATTAAGTGAGTTAATACACACAAAGCACTTGGAACACTGCGTGGGGCACAGTGAGGGCCTGATAAGTATCCACTATCTTTTTTTTTTTTTTTGCATCTGGCCAATGTGGGGATCTGAATCCTTGATCACTTGGTGTGACACCACCATGCTCTAACCACCTGAGCTAACTAGCCAGCCCCAATATCATTTTATTGCTATTCTCACCCCTCATTTAGAGGCCTAGTGCAAGGGTATACCCTCCAGGAACACATCCAGAAAGAAAAACACATAATAATAGCGATCCTACCAAGGGATGATGATAATAGGGAAAATGTGCTGCGTGCTTACTAAATGCCAGATGCTATGCTAAGCGCTTTAGGCAATGCATTCATCTAATCTGCTCTCTAGGGCTCGTAATCCCCACCCAACCCTCCAGTTTACAGACTGTCCACCATGGCCTCCCTTCCCTGAACTCATCCCCATCCATCACTCTTCCCCTCCCTGACCACCCTTTAGCCTCAGGGGTCCCATTTCTGTTCCCCCACCTCAGGGCCTTTGGACTGGCTGTTCCCTCTGCCTAGAGAGCTCTGCTCTTGGATGTCCCCATTCCTGGCTTTTTTTCACCCTTCAGGGCTCAGCTCAAGTGTCACTTCACAGAGGGGCTCTCCCTGACTCTCCTATCTACAAACTAGCCCCCATCATGTCATCCCATTTCTTTTCTTCCTAGCACTTACCACTGTCTTTAATCATTGTGCTTCTTCCTTTCTTTTATTTTTTTGCTGGCCTTTACAGTGTTTGAACCCTGGGCCTTGGTGTTATCAGCACCATACTCTAAACCAGGTGAGCAAACCAGCCAGCTTGTGCTTGTTTCTTTATCTCCTTCTTTATTTTCTGTCTCCCCTATTGTGGACCCCGGAAAAGAAGGGACCTTCTACACTGCTGGATCCCCAAGACCTCAAACCCAGGTCTTAGTACACAGAAGGTGCTCAATAAATGTTTGTTGGACAAATAAGTGATCCTAGGAAGTAGGTGCTAGTATAATCCTCATTTTACAGGTAAGGAAACAGGCTCTGAGAAGGACAGTCACTTGGTCATTAATTCCATGAACATTTATTGTGCGCCTACTGTGTGCCAAGCACTATTCTTCAAGCTGGAGATACAGGAGAGACCACAGCAGATCAAGATCCCATAGTGGAACTGGATTCAAACTCAGCTCTGTGTAACTGTAGAGCCCACGCCTTTTATCCAACTGCCTTTGAGCTCTCTGCTGAATTAATACCCCCAACAACTCCCTACAATAATGTTAGTCATTATTCCCTCTGGACTGGGTGAGGGAAGCACCAAGCCCTGAGTCAGGCTCTTTATATACCAGATTTCCTAATGGTTTTATGAAGAACAAATGAAGAAACCGAAGCTCCCAGAGTAGACAGCATCTGCCAGGGTCACAGATCAGATGAGTGGTGGGATCCAGATTGGAAATCAACTCCCACTCCAGAGCCTGTCTCTTATCCACTCAACTTAAGAATCCCAATTTCCCAGGAAACTTCAACTACCACCCTACGTACCAGTGAAATCAAAAAGGACCCAGGCCTGAAGGGATAATAATGGCAGTAGCCACATCTGTTTCTTGGGCAATTATTTGTGCCAGGCAACAAGACAGCCAGGACTTTACAAACGAGACCCCATCAAAGTCTGACACAAGCTAGGCAAACACTTATTGAACACGTACTAGTCCAGGCCCTATTCCAAGTGCTGTTGATATGCAGTTAGTCCTCAACAAGCACCCCAGGAGGTAAGTACTGTTATTATTCCAATTGTACAGGCAGGGAAATTGAAGCAAAGAGAAGGGCACCAAGTCACGTAATTAATAAGCCACAACTGGTTTTGAACCCAGTCTGCGTTCTTAATCTCAACACTGTGTTGCCTCTTAGCTGTTACGAGCTTCATTTTCTGACAAGGAAACTGAGGCTCAGAGAGATCAGGTCTAAAGACCCCCAATTAATAGGTGGGGGAGGGGGCTGGCTGGTTAGGTCAGTTGGTTAGAGCACAGCTTTGTAACCAAGGTCAAGGTTAGATCCCTGTACCAGCCAGCCATCAAAAAAAAAAAAAAAAAAAGGTAAGGGAGTTAGTATTTGAACCCAAATCTAGCAGCCTATGGCCCTAACCATCACACTGTATTACTGTGCTATAGGGCTTCAGATGGGGCATCACACTGTATTACTGTGCTATAGGGCTTCAGATGGGGCATCACACTGTATTACTGTGCTATAGGGCTTCAGATGGGGCATCACACTGTATTACTGTGCTATAGGGCTTCAGATGGGGCATCACACTGTATTACTGTGCTATAGGGCTTCAGATGGGGCATCACACTGTATTACTGTCTAGCAGCCTATGGCCCTAACCATCACACTGTATTACTGTGCTATAGGGCTTCAGATGGGGAGAAGTGGGGCCTTCAAGGTTCCTCCTGAGTCTGTGTGGATGGACCTGGATGACTGTTAGAATGGGCTTCCTACTTTCTCAGAGAATTATGAATACCAGAGGGTGGCCTCTCCTCTAAACCTGGAATGGAGACTTTACTTTACAGTAAGAACTCAATAAATGAAGCCTGCTAACCAAAGAATTATTAAGATGAGGGAGGGTCCTAGGGCACTCCTAAGACCGTGAGTGGAATCTAAACAGGCTGTCTAGTATTTTAAGGACTGGAGGTGTGTGTATGGGATCTAGCCCGTATCCTTAGGGGCTGTGCATTCAGAAAGTGGGAGCCAGAGCGCCAGGGATGGGATGGGAAGGGGTAAGAAGGAAGCCTGAAACTCATGTGGACAGAGTATAGTATGGTCTGGGCCAGGAGTCCTGAGAGCCCATGTAAGACGAGGGTCAGGGACTCAGGGGGTCAAGGAAGGAGCGTGGAGCCTCTAGGCTGGGGCTGTTGGTGGAGAAATGAACTAAGCCTGGGGGAATACCTGTGTGGATGCCCCACTTGCAGAAGAGGCTACTCTCCGAGAAACCGGTGGCCCCCATGATCTGCCCGATCACGTGCACCTCAGCCATGATCCTGGGAGGGGAAAATATAATTACAGTCCTGTGAGGTAAGCGTAATATTATTTCCATCTTTCGGATGGGTAAACTGAGGTTCACCATCCTGCCTCCCCAGGAGAGCCCGGGAAAAATGGTGGTGGTGTGGACGACCTTGGGCTTAGGGAGCAGGCATCTAACTCCGTCCTACCTAAAATAACTTCCTCCCGCTGGGCTAAGTCCGTTGGAAAGCCCCGCCCCAGGGGCCTTTGGCCCCGCCCACAAGAGCAAAAGCCCCACCTCTCGCGTCATCTCGGCCGCCAAGCTCCATGATGCGCATGCGTTTTGAATTCAAGGCGCCTAAGCCCCGCCTCTAAGTCCGGCGCATGCGTTATTCCTACCTCCGCGCTCCTAACGGTTTAGAAGAGGCGAAAGCGGCAGCGGGGATTGTAGTTCATGAGTCTGACCTGTTCTTCTCTCCGCGTGCGCCCACCAGGTCTGACTCGCGCCTCTCCCAGGACCTTCCTGGCAGTGAGAGAACTGAGGCGCGATACCTCCGCGGTCGCGCTCGTCTTGGGCTCCCTGGTTGTTGCTGGGGCAACAGCAGGCTCCTCCCCTAGCCCTGTCCCCGCCCTGCGCGCCGGTGATTGGTGCTAGCTGTCTGTGGGGGACGGGACGGAGCTGTGATGGACATTTTTCTTCCACTCTTTCTCCATTTTGGGGAAATAGTTGTCTTCAACCCCGGTCGAGGGCTCCGCCATTTGAGGCGTGGCTGGCCAGCTCCTATCTTGAGTGTGGCTGAGGAAGTTTGACTGCCAACCATTTCCCCCTTATAGCTTCTTTACAAAATAAGCAAGTCCGTCTCGATGCTCTGAGCTCGGAATCGCTCCCCGCCAAACCCTCTCCTGTCCGGGACCACAAATCACAGACTTGAACCAGGACCAAGCGGGAATTCTCCCCAGGTTATTGTGTGCACCCCAGGCCTTAAAACTGCGAAACAAAACAAAACAAATCCCTCCTCATTCAGAGAGATTTGAGTAGTTAGGGAGCGGGTTTCCTTTCTGTTTTCCGAGTTTCTCCAAGCTCTCAGAGGCTCACGAGTCCAACTTCCTTATCAGAGTTACTGCCAAGTTCCATGCCGTTCGTGCTGATTCGGAGCAAGAGGGCTGACGGTAGGGATGAGGCATGAGGAACTGAGGCCACTTTATCAGCTGAAAGTCCTGTGTTCGAAAACTGGACTCTTCCAGTAATTTGTCCTGTGACCCTGCCCAGCTCTAGATCTCAGTTATCTCATCCATGTAATGGGCGCACGGAGAGTTAAGTGAGTTGGAGGTACTTATACGGTCTGAATTGCTGAGCGTGCCTTTCCCACAAAGTCCAGCTGAATCTCAGTCCTTTTGTTCCTCCAGCCCAGACCAGGAGTCTGCAAGAACTTATTCCTTACTTTTTAGCAAAATGGGGACTACAAAACTTAGAGTCACCAGGGCCGGCCCGTGGCTCACTAGGGAGAGTGTGGTGCTGATAACACCAAGGCCCCAGGTTCGGATCCCACATAGGGATGGCCGGTTCGCTCACTGGGTGAGCGTGGTGCTGACAACACCAAGTCAAGGGTTAAGATCCCCTTACCGGTCATCTTTAAAAAAAAAAAAAAAAAAAGTTAGAGTCACCAACTCAAAATTATAGGGAGGGGGCAACTTTTCAGTAGGATAACATAGAGTGCGGTGCTGATAACACCAAGGCCACGGGTTCGGATCCTATATAGGGATGGCCGGTTTGCTCACTGGCTGAGCGTGGTGCTGACAACACCAAGTCAAGGGTTAAGATCCCCTTACCGGTCATCTTTAAAAAAAAAAAAAAAAAAAGTTAGAGTCACCAACTCAAAATTATAGGGAGGGGGCAACTTTTCAGTAGGATAACATAAATAGAACAATTTAATAGAATATTCACTAATATATTTAAAAGCTACCATTTATGGAGTGCTTCCTCTATGCCAACCCCTCTAAACTGGTCATTTTACATGCACTCTCTCTTTGAATCCTCATAGACATCCCATGGCTGGCCCATACAGGAATCGAACCTTGGACATTGGTGTTATCGGCACTACGCTAAATCTATATTCTTTTTTTTTTTTTTTTTTTTGTCTTTTGTCTTTTTCCGTGTCCGGCAACGGATCGCAACCCTCAGTGTTGCCCCCGTACCGGACCGGGGACCGGCAACGGGATCGAAACCCACCCTCAGCATTGCTCCCGTGCCTCGCTCAGCCAGTGAGCGGGAACCGGTCTGTATGTGGGATCCGAACCCTCGGGCGGGAGCGCCGCTGCGCTTCCCAAGCGGCGCACTTATCCAGTGCGCCACCGGGCCGACCCTAAATCTATATTCTTAACCTCTCTGCTATCCTGCCTCTCTTGGAGGCACATCCCTCAGTATAAAAGGAATATGGACATTTCCCATATGCAACCAGACATCAAGTCCTGTCAATGATCCTTTTTAAATACTTTTTCTTTGCAGCTAGGTTTTGGGCAACCTTTTTTCTTCAGTTTTTTTTTTTTTTTTTTTTGGAAGCTGGCTGGTCAGGGTATCCGATTTAGTTTCTTCCCCACTGGTTGATATTAGTTAGATTTAAGAAAATAAAGGGCTGGCTGGTTAGCTCGTTGGTAAGAGCATGGTGTTATAATACCAAGGCCCCTGTACTGGCCAGCTGCCAGAAAAACCTCCAAAACCCTCAAAACGTCTTCATATGATTATATCCCTGGCCACTATCTTGCCTGCAACTGCAACTTCACCATAGACCCCGGGCCAGAACTACCTAGCTAAGCTGTTGTTGCCAAATTCCTGACCTACAGAAACTGTGTAATTTGTTATGCAGCAATAGATAATTGATACAAATATGTAATGAATTTAGGACTGTGCTTGGCACATAGAAAACACTATATATGTTTGATGTTGTTACTGAAATGGCATATTTTATATATTGGTAATTTCTTTACAAGAAGCACACTGAGTATTTACTTTTTCATTTTTATTTAAAAATTCTTTTAATTGTGGTAAAAAATTTACCATCATAACCATTTTTAACTGTATGGCTTGATAGTGTTAAGTACATTTACGTTGTTGTGCAACCAACCTCCAGAACTATTTTCATCTCGAGAAACTGAAACTCTGCTCGTACCCCCATACCAGGCAACTGCCAAAAAAAAAAGAAAAGAAAAGAAAGAAAAAGAAAAACTGAAACTCTAGACCCATCAAACGACTACACCTGCCCCCATTCCTTCCTCTTTCCTAGCCCCTAGCAATCACCATTCTGTTTTCTGTCTATAAATTTGGCCACCGTAGGTACCTCATATAAGTGGAATCATACAGTATTTGTCCTCTTGTGACTGGCTTTTTTAAAAAAAATCATACCTGAGGGGCCAGCCCGTGGCTCACTTGGAGAGTGTGGTGCTGATAACACCAAAGCCGCGGGTTTGGATCCCCATATAGAGATGGCCGGTTAGCTCACTTGGGAGAGCATGCCACCAAGTCAAGGGTTATGATACCTTTACCAGTCATCTTTAAAAAAATTAAAAAAAAAAAATCATACCTGAATAAAGCTGGAAATGACTGGTTTATTTTCCTTAGCACAATGTCCTCAAGTTTCATTCATGTTGTAGCATGTGACAGGATTTCCTTCCTTTTAATTTCTGTTGTATGTATATACCACATTTGTGTAAACATTCATCTGTTTATGACACTTGGGTTGCTTCCACCTTTTGGCTATTATAAATAATACTGCTATGAACATGAGTGTAAAAATATCTTTGAGACTCTGCTTTTAGTTCTTTGGGTATGTTCCCAGATGTGGAGTGCTGGACCATGTGGTAATTCTATTTTTAATTTTTTGAGGAATTGCCACACAGTTTTCCATATCAGCAGTACATATTGTTTTACACCTTGCTTTTTCCACTCAGTGATAAATCTTGGAAACTTATCCATGTCAATATGTAAAGATCTAACTTACTCTTTTTCAAAAATAACTTTTTTGAAGTATAACAGATGAACAGGAAAGTGCACAAGTGCATAAATTAGCAGTTTGATTAAATTGCATAAACTGAACACACCTGGTAACCAGAACTCAAGAATATGACCAGCCTCCCAGGATGTCCTTTATGCCTCTTCCAGGATGCCCCTAAGGGTAACTACTAACTGGATTTCTAACAACATGGGTTAGTTCTGCCTGTTTTTGTACTTTATATAAATTAAATCATACAATATGAATTTTTTTGTGCCCGCTGTCTTTGCTCAGTGTTTTGTTTGCATGTAGCTGTAGATCTTTTGTTCTCATTGCTGTATAGTTTCCTTTTGTGAAGATGGCAGAATTTTTTTATCCATCCTGTTTATGGGAATTTGCCTTTTGGTGGACATAGCTCACATCTGGTTGAGGTGAACTTGCTGGGTCACAAGATATGTTCAGCTGTAGTAGAAACTGCCAACACATTTTCCTAGTCCTTGAACCCACCACACTCCACCAGCCCTGTGACAGCTCCTGCTCCTCCAGATCCTCCTCAACACTTGGTTGTTTTTGTTCTTCATTTTAGCCGCTCTGGTGGGTGTGTATTGGTATCATATCATGATTTTAATTGGCATTCCCCTGATGACTAGTCGAATATATATATATATATTTTTTGTATTTCATTGTTCCCTTGGATTTCATCTTTTGTGAAGTTTCTGTTCAAGTCTTTTGCCTGCTTTTCTGCTTCAAAAAAGTTTGTGGAAAAAATGGAGTTAAAAGATAATACGCAGATCCCTGTACTGGCCAGCTGCTAAAATTAAATAAAAAGATAATGTGAATCTTTCCATGAACTTTTTGAAGACCCCTCATATACACACACACACACACACACACACACACAGATACTATATAGGAGATAATGTAGGCATATCTTTTTGAGAAAGGAAAGCTTTTATTTTTATTTTTATTTTATTATTATTTTTTTAAAGATGACCGGTAAGGGGATCTTAACCCTTGACTTGGTGTTGTCAGCACCACACTCACCCAGTGAGCAAACCGGCCATCCCTATATGGGTTCCGAACCCGTGGCCTTGGTGTTATCAACACCACACTCTCCCGAGTGAGCCACGGGCCGGCCCGAAAGCTTTTAATTATGTGCAATTTTAGTGGTACGACCTAAGTAGGTTCCTGCTGCAAGGAATTTGAGGACCTCCTCTTCATTTGCAGGACATCAAGGGCTCCAGATATTGTGAAATGTTCCCGTTAAATTATGATGGGCATACAGAACAACACCATATAGTAAAATTCTCCAAAGAATAAGGGAACTCTCATATAATTGTAGTACTGATTTAACATCACAATATCAATTTATGCTTTTTTTGGGGGGGTGGCTGTCTGGTACAGAGATCTGAACGTGGTGTTATCAGCACCATGCTCTAACCAAGTGAGCTAACTGGCCAGCCCTTCATTTAACATTGATACAGGGCCGGCCCGTGGCTCACTCGGGAGAATGTGGTGCTGATAACACCATGGCCGCGGGTTCGGATCCCATATAGGGATGGCCGGTTTGCTCAGTGGGTGAGCGTGGTGCTGACAACACCAAGTCAAGGGTTAAGATCCCCTTACCGGCCATCTTTAAAAAAAGACAAAAAACAAAAAAACATTGATACAAAACTGTCATCTAATCTGTAGCCTATATTCAGATTTCCCTAGTTGTCCCAATAACGTACTTAGTCACTATTCCCCCAGGATCATTCCCTTTTTTTTTTTTTCTGCAGCTGGCTGGTACAGGGAACCAAACCTTTGTTACAAGTCTGTGCTCAAACTAATTGAGCTAACTGGCCATACTTTGCATTTACTTGTTATGTTTCTTTAGTTTCCTTTCATCTAGTACATGTCAGCCAGCTTTTTAAAATTATTATTGTTGTTATTATTTTGTTTTGTTTTTTGGTGGCTGGCCGGTACAATTATTTTGTTTTTTTCATAATATTGACATTTTGAAGAGTACAGGCCAGCTACTTTATACAGTGTAAAACCCTCATTTTGGCTTTGTCTTCTGTTTTCTTATTATCAGATTCAGGTTATGCATTTTTAGCTTTTTTTTTCTTTCTTTCTTTTTTTTTTTTTCCAGCTGGCTAGTACAGGGATCCAACAGGTTATGCATTTTTGGTAGGAAAACCACAGAAATGATGTGTCCTCCTTAGTGTATCATATCAGGAGGCACATGAGGTTGCTTTGTTCCATTACTGGTGATGTTAAATTAATTTTTATCACCTGGTTAAGGTGATGTCTGCCAGTTTTCTCCACTATTGTTTTTTCCTTTGTGATAAATAATCTATGAGAAGATACTTTGAGATGAAATAAATATCTTGTTCCTCATTAAACTTTCACTCAAAGGTTTAAGCCTCTGGGGCCGGCCTGTGGCTCACTCGGGAGAGTGCGGTGCTGATAACACCAAGGCCGCGGGTTCAGATCCCATATAGGGATGGCCGGTTTGCTCACTGGGTGAGCGTGGTGCTGACAACACCAAGTCAAGGGTTAAGATCCCCTTACCCGTCATCTTTTTAAAAAAAAAAAAAAAAAGGGTTAAGCCTCTATTGATGATCCTTGCTGGAATCTTGTGTTTAATAATCCAGGCCCATCTCAAACTCTGAGATGCCTGGGCCTCTCCCGACCTCCCGAAAGGGGTGGGGTTGGGGAGGCTATAAAAGGCTGGTGGTGGCCAGAGAGCTCTAGCTGGAAGTGCATTAATATCTAGGGTGCCTTAGAAGGACAAGGGTACTCACAGAGCTTAGTGACTCAGTGAAAAACTGAGGCTGGTGGGAATTCATGCCCTCAACCCTCAAATATATAAGGAAGGCCCACTTTGTATCAGGCACTGTTTTAGGCTTTGAGGCACAGCAATGAACAAAAGAGATTAAATCTCAGCCCTTGTGGAGTTAACACTAATGTGGGAGGATTCAAACCACAAACAAAAGAAATACATAATATGTTTCATAGTGATATGAAAAAACAACTAGAGCAAGGTTAAGGAGATAGTAACAGGGTACCTCTCCTGAGCAAAACAATCTTGCCTCCTTTTCTCTCACCTTTGCCTCTGTGGGTCTCCCTGCCTCTGTAGTCTGCCAAAAGCTCTGGCTGAGCCAAGTGCACTCGCAGACTCTATCTGTTCTCCCCAAGAGTGGGGCCTGTGCCAGCTCCACCGTCTGGACTCTTGGCACAGAGCCCTGGAGTCCTGGAGTGAGGGAACTCCAGCTGGCCCCACATCAGGCTGGGGAATCCTCTGGTCTGATGAGATGGAGGGCCTCTAGTTGATAAGGGGAGGCCAGTGCAAGGCTCCCTGAAGAAGGTGGAGGCTTGCAGGGCGAGGAGATTCCCCTAATTAGACTGATAGAGATGAATACAAATAATAATATTAATTAACATCATCAAACATGTTCAGAGTACTTTGCCAGGCTTTGGGTAAATGTTGGACATTTCTTATCGTATGCAATCTAAGTACTTTATTATTTTATTTTATTAAAAAAATTTTTTTGGCAGCTGGCTGATATGGGGATTCAATGAATACTTTATGTACATTATCACAGCTAAGAAGCAGGGAGTATTTCCCTCATCTTACAGATGAAGAAATAGGGGTTTGGAGAGGTGAAGCCATTGTGCAGAGGTCACACAGCAAGTGCCTTGACGGGCTTGGAAAGCAACCCAGGTCTGTGTGGATCCAAATAATGTCTCACGAACACCACTTGTACCACCTAATAATCAGCGCCTCACCCCACCCCGGGCCCCACTCAGCCTCCTTTTCCTGGAAGCCTCCACCCCACTTCTGCCTCTGCTTCCTCCCCTTCCCTTGGGTCAACAAGGAACACAGCCCTGGATTATAACCTGCTGGTCCTAGTACCAGTTGTTTACCTCGACCAAGTAAGCACTCATCTCTGAGCCTCAGTTTCTTTATCTGCAAAATAGGGATAAAAACAGAGCTACTGAGAAGAGTAAGTGCGATGATGGTAAAGCATTTAACTCAGGGCCTGGGGCATCGGCTGCACTCAATGCTGCGCCAGCAGCGTGCTCTCTCTGTGCCTGTTTCTTCCCCGGGCAACAGGACAATCAGTGACAGTGCCTTTAGTACTGTTCTGAGGAATAAATGTGTAAATGTGTATGTAATGCACTAAGAATAGGGCACACAGTTAGCCAGAGCTGCTGTTACCATTATTGGGTATTATTGGGCAACGGGGGTGCGGAGGAGGAGGCTGGGCCAAGCCAGGAAGGCCCCGGGGAATCGGGGGAGCCCCCTCCACCGATCAGCAAAGCGTGGGCCTGTGCTCAGGGCTGGGGGGAAGGGCCACTTTCTCAGAGACCCCCACCTCACACCTGGGCGTGACGGGCCAGCGACCCCGCGCTGACGTCGGCCTTCAAGGCCTCCTCCCCGGCCACCGCGGGGGCGGAGCCGGGAGGCCATCGCCCCGCCTCATCCCCGCCTCATCCCCGCCCCCGCGCGCCGCGGGCCCGGGGCGCTGAGACCCGACTGAGCAGAGATCGCAGACCCGGCGTTTCCCGGGCCCGGCCCGGGGATGCGGCATTCGCTGTTTGCCCACCCCGCGGGCGACAGTGTCAGGGCGGGTGTCGATGCAGGGGGACCAGGAGGTCATGTCCTATGACCGTGGGCGGTGAGTGAGGGGCCCAGGTGGCGGGCAGCATCCCTCTCCTGAGTCCTGGAGTTGGGGATGGGGAGGCAATGGCTCAGTCAAGGTTTAGAGAGAGCAGGCAGGAGGTTTAGGGGTCCCCCAGGGGGAATCGAGTGTGTATGTGTATGTGGGTGCTGGGTTTGGGAGTGTTATGGGGCGAGGTGTGCAAAGGAGGATTGGGTAAACCAGGAAGTATCTGGCGAGCTGGTGGGTGTGTGGGGTCATGGGTGTGGGTGGAGTAGGGCAGGAGTGTGTGGACCTGGTGAGTGTTTGGGGCAGGTGTGCAAGGGAAGTGATGGGAACAGGGGACAGTGTCGGGGTGCACATGTGGGAAGCCTGTGTGCGTGTGTGGTTTCTGATACTAGAAGGATTAGGCATGTGCAAGGAGTCATTTGGGATAAATGTGCAAGGAGGTTTTGGGCCTAGAGGTGTTTTCTGGGAGCTGATGTTGTTTGGGGTAAGTATACAAAGAGTCATTTGGGAGATGAACGTGCGCAGTGGGGCTTGGGATTGTCTGGATGGGGATGTGTTGCAGGGGACTTGGGTACTGAGAGCATGTGCAGGTCTGGGGGGCATAGAAGGGGGAGTGTGGACTAAAGTTCCAGCCTTGATCGGGGGCGGGGAGATGGGTCTGTGTACTGAGGAAGTGTGTGTGAGCCTGGATGAGTGTTGAGGGGGTGTGAACTGGAATGGGCGTGTTGGTGGGGAGTTCATGGAGCCAGTAAGTATGTAAGGCATGGTTTGGGATAAGTGTGCAACAAGTGTGTGGTTTTTGCCTGAGAGAGATATCCCAGACCCCTGAGTTCTCTTCATAACTTGGGCCAACCCCTTTTACTCTTGGCCTCAGTTGTCCTATCTGTAAGATGGGTCTGAGGGTTGTTGAACTAACTAGTCTCTGCTTGAGTTTCTCCAAAGTCAGGGATCAGGGCATGGGTGAAGTGAGACTTTTATAACTTGTCTTTTCCTTCCTCCTACCTCCAGGAAACTCCTTCCAGAGTCTCTTTCCAGCCATGGACAGCCCTAGTCTTCGTGAGCTTCAGCAGCCTCTGCTGTTGGGCACAGGCTGTGAGCTCCCTGCCCAGAAGCCTGATTTGGGGTCTCCGTTGAGAGAGACAGCCTTTGCGGAGTCCCTGAGGGGTTGGCAGTTCCTGTCACCACCGCTTCCCTCTGTAAGCGCTGGCCTGGGGGAACCAGGGTCCCCCGATGTTGAGGTAGGAGCAGCAAGCCTTAGTGGAAGCTAAGGGAAGGGGCTGGAGTTCGGGCACTTATGGCCACCATCTGATAGACTGGCAGCTGGAGGTCTCTGCCCTAGGCCCGGAGTCTCATCTCCCAACCATGTGTTAGTTCTGGGATTTCCAGTTATGGTTGTTCCTGTTCTACATCTCTCCTGGGTTCTTTACCTTTTTCTCTTCAGATCTGTCTCTCATCTTCGTTCCCTGGCCTTTAGCTCTTCGTCTTCCCTCTGATCTCTCTCTCCAGAGCAAATGCACTTCTGGCCTCTGTCAGCCCCAGTCTCTTTTTTTCAGGTTAATGTCACTGATTATAATTTCTTATTCCTTGTACATACTGTCAAACTTGTCTTTTATTTTCATTTATTTTTTGCCAGCCAGCCGGTACAGGGATTGAACCCTGGACCTTGGTGCTGTCAGTATCCATGCTCTAACCAACTGAGCTAACCAGCCATATAAGAAATAATGTTTTTATTTCTTAAACATAGTTCTTCAGTTACTGTTGCTATATAAGAAATCGCCCCAAAACTCTGTGGCTTAAAGTTAACAACAGTCATTATTATCTCATGGTTTCTGTGGGTTGGGAGTTTGGGAAGGACTCAGCTGGGTGGTTCTGCTTTAGGGTCTTTCTTGAGGTTGCAGCAGCTGGAGCTAGAACAGTCCAGGGCTGGCTGGGTATTTCTGTTTTCATGTGGGTAGTCTCAGTGCTTCTACATGTGGTCTCTCCCTGTGGGATGTTTTGGGATTCCTCACAGCATGACGGCTTCAGGGCGGCCAGACTATCGTATACCCCCAGCATGAATGTTTCAGCAAAGCAGAAGCTGCCTCACCTTTTCTGACTTAGCTTTGGAAGTCACGTAGCATTACTTCCACCACATTCTGTTAATTACAAGTGAGTCACAAGCCTGCCCAGATTCAAGGGGAGGGGACACAGACCTCATCCGTTGATGAGAGGAGTATCAAAGTCACACTATAAAAACATCATGTGGGATGGGAGTCTTGTGACTATTTTTGGAAAACACAATCTGCCATACATAGTAAGCATAATTTTGACATAGATAAATCCAACATCTGAAGACTTTGAGGGCCTTATTACTTCCGCTCGTTCACAGTTTCTCATGTGCCTGACTACCTTTGACAGTATGCTGCTCATTGTAATTGAAAAATCATTTTTAGGAAAAATTATTTTGAAGCCTAGTATGAAGGTTCCTTCCTCCGGAAAGGAATTGGTTTGCTTCTGTCAGCTGTCTGGGGGCTACCAATGTATTAGTCTGTTTTCCGTCACTTATAAAATACCTGAAACTGGGTAACTTATAAAGAAATTTCTTACAGTTTTGGAGGCTGGCAAGTCCGAGGTTGAGAGGGCACATCTAGTGAGGGCCTTCTTCCTGGTGGGGACCCTCCTCAGAGTCCTGAGGTGGCACAGGGCATCACGTGGTAAAGGGGGCAAGAGTGTTACCATGCTCCCTTGGTCTCCTTATGAAGCCACCAGTCTACTCTTTAATCAGCCCATTAACCCCTGGGATTGACCCACAAATGGATCAGTCTATTCATGAAGGGCACAACCCACATGATCCAATCACCTCTTAAGGGCCCCACCTTTCAAATACCATAGACTGATTTCCTGCCCTCTTAAAACTGTTACAACAGGGATTAAGTTCCAACAGGAGTTTTACAGGGGACATTCAAACTAGAGCAACTAGTTAGAAATCATTTGTAATCTACTTTGAGATTTGAATGAGTCTATTTTTTTATTTGAGCCCCCTTTTAACTGAGGCTTAATTTGCATGCAACAAATGTGAACAGTTTCATGAGTTTTGATGTGTATAAAAGATAAACTCATAATCCTTTAGTTCTGGGACATTTTCTTTTTTTCTTTTTAAAAGATGACCGGTAAGGGGATCTCAACCCTTGACTTGGTGTTGTCAGCACCACGCTCAGCCAGTGAGCGACCGGCCATCCCTATATAGGATCCGAACCCGTGGCCTTGGTGTTATCAGCACCGCACTCTCCCGAGTGAGCCACAGGCCGGCTCTGGGACATTTTCCTAGAAATTTTTTTTTTAAAATATAATTTCCTACCTACTCTTTTTTTTTTTTCTGGAACTTTTTTTTTTTGCAATTTAAATTTTATTAGCATAGTCATGGTTACAAATCATACTTATTCTTTATGCCCCTTATCCAATCTCCCCTCTCCCCCTCCCACCTCTAACTGTAGATTTGTTCTCTCCATCTGATAGATTTAACTCTTCCTCTGTGGGTCTGTTGCCTAGATGATCTGTCCAGTACTGAGACAGGTGTGATCAAGTCCTCCACTATCGTAAATCAGATGCTGCTTCTATTACTCTGGTGTGTTTTGTGAACAGAGAGGGCCTTTTTTATGGGTCTCCGCTGGTGCCCCTCTCTGTGTTAATGAAGTTGAGTCTGGCATGTCATCTGCATGGTGGATGTGACTGCAACTGCTGCTATAGACTAGTTGCTTTTGCGGGAGCTGTGGCAATTGTGGTGGCTATGGAGGGCTACCTGTGTGAAAATGGTGTTTTTGGTGTGCTCTTTACTTGGTTGAGGCTGGGTTCAGCTTCATGCCCCCGAATCCATACCTCAGGGCCCCCGCTGGGTCCCTGAATGAAAGTTAAAATTTTCTGAGATTGATAAATGCCTGCAGGTCAAAAGGGGCCTCCTGTGGTCACTTAACCTGTTAAGGCAATTGTAGTGTCCATGATTGGACCTGTGATCCCCATGAAAATGAACTCAAAACTTTGAGTGTTTTGTGGGGCTCTTCTCTTGGCATGATCCACAGCTTCCCCTCAAAAAGATCCAGAATCCAGAAAAGTCAAAAGTCCATCTCTTTGAACATTTTTGTCTCTGTGTCTCTGGGGAGGTTTTTGGGGGAGGTACTGGTCTTTGGGGGCTATGTGGAGCAGAGCAGTGAGGCAGGAAAGGTGGGTGGAGATGCTCACCCAGGTCCTCTTCTGCCCATAGGACACGTTATCCAGCGACAGTGACTCGGACTGGGATGGGGGTGACCGTCTCTCTCCACTCCTACCCCACGACCACCTTGGCTTGGCTGTCTTCTCCATGCTCTGTTGTTTCTGGCCCATGGGCATCGCTGCCTTCTGTCTGGCCCAGAAGGTCAGTTTGTGTGTGGGACTGGGAGGGGACTGGATATAAGAGAAAAATGCACTAGAAAAACCAAAAGCAAAAGAGGAGCCATGTTGGAGTGGGGGCCACATGGAGATGGAGAAAAGGATCCACACAGAAACAAGCAGGGGTAAAATGAGGCATGTTTTCTAGAGGGCAGCCCAGGGTGGTAGTTTGGAACCTGAACTCAAATTGTGTCTGCCACTACCTGTAAGATTTTGGGCAAACCACTCAACTTCCCTGTGCCTCATTTTCCTCATCTGTAAAATGTGAATAATTCCTACCTCAGGGTCACTGTGAGAACCAAATGTGTTAGAACAATGGCATATAATAATGTATGTTTTTATCAGTCATTCAGTATCCCCAGTGCCCAACTGTGCCTGACCCATAGTAGGTTCTCCACATCTGTTTTTAGAATATATGAATGAATGGGTATGTTGGGTGAAGGAGGGGTCGGGGAAGGGTCTGGGATTGTGGGAAGCAGGGTGGGGATGAGGGGATGCCTGGGTCACTGCTGTCCACTGCCTCTACAGACCAGCAAGGCTTGGGCCAAGGGGGACATCCAGGGGGCAGGGGCTGCCTCCCGCCGCGCCTTCCTGCTGGGGGTCCTCGCTGTTGGTCTAGGCGTGTGCACGTATGCGGCTGCTCTGGTGACCCTAGCTGCCTACCTTGCCTCCCGAGATCCACCCTAGTTGCCCCTGTGACCCGCTGTGAACCCAGAGTCAAGCAGCCCAGTGCACTCATGGCACAGAGTGGAGAATCCTGGTTGAAGAGGAAGCGGCATCAGCATCCAGAAATGGGAGGCAACTGGACAACCTCCTCCCCTTCCTGGCCACCACGCACTGGGCGGCAGCAATGTGAAAGATTAAACACCAGACACTCTCGCAACCAAACCTGTGTCTGTCTGTGTGTGTGGGAAGGTGGAAGGGGTTAGGAGTACCTGAGACCAGAAAGGGACTGGCCAGGTAACAGGATGTGCTGGGCAAGCCCAGGTGCTCCCTGAGACCTCAGAGCTGGAGAAGGGGGTAAATCAGTGGGGTGGAGGGTTTCCAAATTACAGAATGTTCACTTCACAACACTAGTGGTTAGCAATTAGAGGGCTGCATTCCAAGCCCTTCCTCCAAAGCTGTGTAACCTGGGCCCAAGTGACTTCTCTTTGAGCTTTTTTCTCATCTGCAAAATGGGACTGGCTTTCTCCACATCCCAGCTGTGATGAGGATTAAATACATCCTTCATGTAAATGGCTTTTTGCTGTTTCCCTCTGAGTTCTTTTGACAGCAAGTGGCCCAACTGTGGGACAGTTATTCTTTGCAGGAAGCTCACATATCCTTGGCTTTTGCCCACTACATACCCTGGAGGGTAGGGGGAAAGGGGCAGTCAAATGGTAACTAAACTTGCCCCCTATATTTCCAAACGTCCCTTAGTGGGTGCTTCCATCCCTGACTAAGCACCAACAAGCCTCAACTACTTGTTTATAGATGGGGAACCACAGTTCAGCATGTGCTGGTGTCTCCCTGGGTTTTGTTTGAACAGTGAGGGCTCTGCGACTGGACTTCCCCAGTGGGATCCTTTTTCCGCTGCAGGCTAGCTGGGGACCTTGGGCAGCTAGCTGGCTTATGAGCTGGTTTCCTCATCTTAAAATGGAGACTGTCATAGGGCCGGCCCGTGGCTCACTCGGGAGAGTGTGGTGCTGATAACACCAAGGCCACGGGTTCGGATCCTATATAGGGATGGCCGGTTCGCTCATTGGCTGAGCGTGGTGCTGACAACACCAGGCCAAGGGTTAAGATCCCCTTACCGGTCATCTTTAAAAAAAAAAAAAAAAAATGGAGACCGTCATAACAGCCCGTCCTTACAATGTTGCTGGGTGGGTTAAAGCAGCACTCAGAACAAAGGCCCTATGAGCATGCTGCGCCTGCTCCTCCCCCAATCCCATCTCCTCCCTCTCCAGCCACTGGCCACCTTGCTGTTCCTCGACACCTGAAGGATCTGATCTCCCCCTATGTTATCCAACAGCCCACTGTCTTTCCTCTTTCAGATGTCCCCATCCATGGGAAGGCATCCCTGACTGATGTATTGAATTTACCGTCCCCAAACTAACTCACCCAAATTCCTGTTCCCTGCTTTTTAATTTTTTATAGCATTTACCACCATCTGACAAATACCAATTTTATTTGCCCATCACCCCCCTGTTCCTCAAACATGGGATCTGAGTCTCTCTTGTTCATTCCCAGTTCCTTAGCACCTAGCAGGGCCTGCATATAGCAGGTGCTCATCACATTTGTTAGAACAAATGAATATAAGGGTACTTCAAAATGTTCATGGAAAAATAGAATTAAAAGATAATATGAATCAGGGACTGGCAAGTTAACTCAGTTAGTTAGAGCACAGTATTATAACACCAAGGTCAAGGGTTCAGATCCCCTTACTGGCCAGCTGCCAAAAGAAAACTTTGAAAAGATAATATGAATCTTTCCATGAACTCTTTAAGTACCCTTTTGTTGACTCATTTACTCAATAAATTGAGCTCCTTTTAATGTTATCCTTGCAGAGGGGGAGGTCATGCCCCCATGCCTGGGGCTGTCAGGGGCTGAGGTTTCTGTCCTCCTCAGCAGGAGCCCCTGCAGCTACAGAACTACAAGCTCACATGTGCACACAGGGACAGAGAGGCAAGACTGGCTGCTGGTTTACTTGAGGCTGGAGGTGGTGGGTGGTGGCAGTGGGAGGGGCACCCTGCTCCAGCTTGCCTCAGCTTGCCTCAGCTCTTGGAGTAACGCCTCTGCAGGGATTCCCGGTAAAAGCGGAAGACGTGTTGCGAGGCAGCCTGAGCTGCAGCCAGGCACTGCTGGAGCTGGGAGGGGAAGAGACTTGTCAGTGCTTGGGGCCTTGCCCTGCACACCCACACAGCCCAGCTGACCTGAGAGGTTCCCTAACCCCACTTGACTCCATTAACCCCCAAACCTACCACTTCCTCCCCACCCCCCACCCCAGGTGAGGTAAGTGGTGAGGGGATTATTTCAGGTGCGTTTTCTTCTTTCTCACTTCATGCGCTCTTAGAGGGGAACAGGAGGGAAAACAGCATGGCTTCAGGGATCAGATTCTGACAGTGACAGGACCTTAGACCAATGGGATCAGGCAACACCTTGGAAGAGACCCCAACCTTGTAGAGCCTATGGAAACTGAGAGCTCTCAGATTTAGACAGGTCTTAGGATTTTAGAGCCACAGGCCCTTTGGCCCCAAAGAATCTTAAGAGCCATGAAATCAGGGACCACAAATCTTTACTGCCACTTATTCTTACATTCATAGGGGGTCCAGAATGGAAATGCTCTTGGAGACCATTTGGCTTAACTGTTTCCAAACTCTGTTCCTCAGAGACATAGAATTCCAGGTGGCTCACCCTTTGAGCTGGAAGTTGGTGGCCTACAGATCCCCACACCTCCTGATTTCAAACTGAGCTCCTCCTCTTGGGCTTCTGTTTAAAATTTCCACCAAGAGGGCCGGCCCGTGGCTCACTCGGTAGAGTGTGGTACTGATAACACCAAGGCCCCGGGTTCGGATCCTATATAGGGATGGCCGGTTTGCTAAATGGCTGAGCATGGTGCTGACAACACCAAGCCAAGGGTTGAGATCCCCTTACCGGTCATCTTAAAAAAAAAAAAAAGATCCCCTTACAAGTCATCTTAAAAAAAAAATTAAAAAATAAATAAATAAATAAACAAATAAATAAAATTTCCACCAAGGTTTCTGTGGTTACAAAGTCCAAAAACTCTTTTTTATAGACAGGGATGCAAGGAAGAGGCCCTGCTTAATACTCTCAGAGTCCCGGGCAGAGTTGGGACAAAATCTCATGTCAGGATGGGAAGGAAGATATGGCTTTCACCCCCACCCCCATGCTGGTACCTCGGCATTGGAGTAGAGTCCCTTGGTCGTAGACATCAGCAGCTTCTGTTCCACACTGTCGAGTGCAAAAGTCAGGACTGCCCGGGCCTCCTATGGACAATGGGTAGAAGGTGGTGGAAGACCTAAAGCTTTACCCTCAGGTAAAATCTCAGTTGGTCCCAAAGAGGGGACTCCAGACCCTCAGCCTCAAGGCCTTGCCCTTCCCACAGCCAGGTGCTTACATATGGAGTACAGTTGTTGTCAACATACCACCCCTTCCATTTCCCTAGGTAACAGCGCTCTACCTTTCCTTTGTAGAAAGCTCCTCAAGCTCCTTACCTGGTCCATCTCAGCCTCCCATTCACCCTTCCATGCTCTGTACTGCAGGGGCTGGAAGCCAGCAAACTAGATTTCCCAGGCTACCTTGCCAGTTAGAGTCTACCAGTAATCTTGTGGGAGACTGGAAGGAGGAGAGAGAAGCATCCTGGCCCTCATTCTGACAGTGGCAGTTGCCATAATTGCCATACAGAGCTGCTGGATTCTGGACTTTGGCAGCCAGGACAGAGGTGGAACATCTTTCGTGCAACCAGGACCAACTGTGACGTCTCCAACAGCACACAGCAGGAGCTAGCTCGCAGGTTCAGCCCAGGGCTGGTAAATGCATTCAATTCCCTCTGAAGAAAATACCATAAGTGATTTGTTTTCCTGACTGGATGTGACCATTACAACAGTGGGCAGATAACTCATAACCACAGCCCTAGGACACTATGAACCTGAGTGGATGAGGAAAGCTCTCTTCTCTTCCTATTTGCTTTTGAGCCTCTTAAGATGGATGCATAAAGCTTAAGGGGCCAGTCTCAGCCTCAGAAAAGATGCTGGCCAGATAGAGTGTAGCCTTGTAACACCAAGTCAAGGGCTGGGTATCCCATATCAGCCAGCTGCCAAAAAAAAAAAAAAAAAAAAAAATGCTGGCCAGAGAGAATGAAGCTGACATGCAGAAAAAAGCAGGCATGAGAAATCAAGCAAGGAAATCCAAATGGTGTTTAAAGTCCTGGTTTTAGTTAGATCTCTGTTTTTTGAGTGTGGTAATAAGTCAATAAATTCGCTTTTTGCTTATGCAAGTTTGAGTTGGGTTACTAGCACTTGCAGCTGAATGAGCCCTGAAGAACAGAGCAGAGCTTTGCCAACTGGGACTGAGGTGGCATAAGGCAACTGTTCCGCAGAGAAGCCAAACCTGAAGGAAGAGAGAGAAAGCTGTCTGGCCTCCACCCTTCAGCCACCTGGGTCTTCCAACCTACCTTTTCTTGCTTGGCTGTGGGGTCCAGCACAAGTGTCCCATCAGAGTCCAGGGCACAGGTGACCCCACAGAAGAGAGCCCGCATGGGTACACCTGTATCCACCAATGCCATGCAGGCAGCATTCAGGCAACAGGCTAGGAGCTGAGCACCACAAGGAGCAGTTAAGAAGAGTTTCTACTGTAGGGCTGGCCAGCAGAACGAATCTGTGCCTCCCTTTACCCTGGTGATGCCTGTGGCAGACATCACTAATTGATCACAGAAAGGCAGTATGACAGAATGGTTAAAAGTGGTTCTGGGATCAAGTAACCCTGAGTTCCAGATTTGGTCTTGCTGTCTCTCAGCTATGTAACTTTGATTAGGTGACTTACTCTGAGTCTCCATCTCCTCGTGTTAAACAGGGATCATATATTCAACAGATACATGCTGGAGTAGGTACCAAGCATCTCAGGGAAACAGAGTCAGAGGGAAAGAAACCTTTCATCACACGGGAGAGGAACTGGCAAAGCCAGACCCAGAACTTTGAATCTAATAGGTAGCCACTACACAGGTGGTAGAGCTGGCAGGACGCTGCTGCCCTCAGGGAGCCCACAGTCAAGGGTGGGGTGTGGCTGTGCACCTTCTGCAGAAGAGCACAGGCTGCAGCCAGACAGCAGCTCTGCGTGGTTCCTCATATCTTTCTTCCCCAGTCCTAGCAAGTGGGTGAGGGTCCCAGGTTTAGAATCAATCAGTTCCAGCTCTGCCGTTGACCCTCTGTCACTTTCACTGAGCTTCAGTATCCACCTCTATAAAATGGGGTCACAACATCTCCTCTGCCCCCATTATAAAGTGCCTGCCCAGTGCAGGGCCATGTACCAGTGAAGCCCTCTAGAAATGCCCATTTCCTGGGCTGGCTGTTTAGCTCAGTTGGTTATAATGCAGCCTTATAACACCAAGGTCATGGGTTCAGATCCCTGTACTAGCCACACACACACACACACACACACACCCATTTCCAGTCCTCACCCACACACACACCCATTTCCAGTCCTCACCCTCAATCTCACTTGCCTACCACAGGGATCTTTCAAGGCTGAGCTCCTGACTCAGCCGCTCTGCCTGCTCAGGGCTCCCCCAGCGTGGAGAACCTGAAATCCATGGTACAGAGCAAAGGTCACTGGTACAGGCTCTGGAGTTAGGCCTGGGTTGAGTCCTGCCTCTGCTGCCTTCTTTTTTTTTTTTTTTGTCTTTTTCCGTGTCCGGCAACGGATCGCAACCCTCAGTGTCGCCCCCGTACCGGACCGGGACCGGCAACGGGATCGCAACCCTCGGTGCTGCTCCCGCACCTCGCTCAGCCAGTGAGCGGGAACCGGTCTGTATGTGGGATCCGAACCCTCGGCGGGAGCGCCGCCACGCTTCCCAAGCAGCACATGATAGCAGTGCGCCACCGGGCCGGCCCCCTCTGCTGCCTTCTGACTGTGACCTTGGGCAAACCAAATCCCCATTCTGGGCCTCAGTTTCCTTACCTGAGACATGAGAACATAGGGACACTCATCTGCCAGGGTCCTTGGGATCTAGAACCAGATGGCTTGGGCCCAAGTCTTGGCTCTGCCACTTATATGGGTATTATAATGGCACCTGTTTCATGTGCTGTGAGGATGAAACCAGTTAACATGCATACAGCACTTAGAACAGTGCCTGGCACATAGTAAGTACTAAAGCTATGTTTTTTATTCTTCAACAAGTTGGTGCCTATCAAGTGTTTGGAGGTCTTCTGGCTAGCAGAGGGTAGGTACATGGCCATCAGAAGGGAGGCAATCAGCAAGGTTCTGGAGAACCTCCTGGAGGAGGAGGCTTGAGGGAAAGGATACAGAGCCAGCATCACTGATGACCTGCAGCACCACGGTGATGGAGGTTCGCGGGTGCAACGCTCCCAGCACCACCGCCTCACAGGTGTTTCTGATCAGCCGCTCCCGGGACTTCTCTGCTACGCCTGGGGAAATTGAGGGGAAGCTGTCATGCTCTTCCCTTCCATCTGGCTCACCTTCCTCCATACATCGCACCCAAGCTCTCTGGAAAGGGCCTTGCAGTCTCAGCCTGTGATGGTGCAGGAACCTGCACGGATGACATCCCCAGTAGGAAGGAGGCAGGGCCTGACCGCCACCCACCCCACCCTTGCTACCTCCAGCACCCACCAAGGGAGACATCTGGGGGAGGAAAACCTAGGAGTTCCCATGTCTTGTGCTGCTGCCCACTCCCACCCCAGTGGGTCCAGCCCATAGGGAGTGAGAAAGACAGAGGGTATAAGGGCAGGAAAACAGGTTAATAGAAAGAAGGGGAGATGGAGGCATGGAAGAGAAAACAGAGGAAGGGAGGGAGAAATGGGAGGCAGAGAGAAAAGTGACAGAAACTGAGGCTCAGAAGCAGAACTAGCTGAGGGGAGATGAGAAGAGGAAACGGAGACTGGGCACAATAGGCAGGGAGGAGCTGGGGAAAGCTCCCGACAGACCAGGCATCGGAGGTTCAGCTGGGCCCAATTACCAGGAAGCCCGATCTTCGGCCTTAGGATCACTTCCAGCGTGGCCTTGTTGAAGATCTCTTTGCTGACCTTCACCTCGGCTGGCCCATACACACCTGCCAGGACGGAGGTATCACCTGGGGAGATAGCAGGATTGGCCTCACCCACATCTTCCCTGCTTCTGGGGCCCAATGCTTGGCACTTAACAGTATAGGTACTGAGCCTGGTGGCCAGGACTCCCCATGTCACCCCTGCCATTTGTTGGCAGTGATTCTTTGGCCACTCACTTCATTTCTCTGCCTCTACTTTTTTATCTGTAAAATGAGGATAACAATGGTATCTACTTCATAGCATTCTTATGAGGATTAAATGACACAATTCATGTAAAACTTAGAATGCTTCCGGTACATGCTGAGTGCGCAACAGACATTAGCTGATATTAACTTTAACAGAAAGTTCTTCCTGAGAGCTAACCTTCCTCCCTCTTACTGCGGCTGGTCTCAACTTCTCTTTCCAAAGCTTCCCCAGCCCAGCTCTTGTCCCTCAGGCTCTCATTTCCAAATTCTGCAGCAATGCAAACACCTGAGAAAGGGATAAATATTTGGGGTGAATCCTGACTCCTGTTTATATCCCCAGAGTGGGTATGAATAGGGTATGGGAGGTAAGACTTGGGAAATAAAAAGCCTGGCTTCTAGTCCTGTCTGCCTCCTCCTGGCTCTGTAAGCTCCAGTGATTTTACTCACCTTTCTGGGCCTCAGTTACCATCTGTAAATGAAGAGATTGGACTAGAACAGTGGCTTTGAAACTTCTCTGACTACAACCCCCAATAAGAAATACATTTGAGGGCCGGCCCGTGGCTCACTTGGGAGAGTGTGGTGCTGATAACACCAAGGCCACGGGTTCGGATACCTATATAGGGATGGGCAATTAGCTCACTTGGGAGAGTGCGGTGCTGACAACACCAAGTCAAGGGTTAAGATCCCCTTACCGGTCATCTTAAAAAAAAAAAAAAAAATACCAGACCCCAATGCCCAGATCCTTCCCCAGATCTCCTAATTTAACTGTTTAGGGGTGGGGTGCAGGCACTGGGAGCGTCAGAGCTCCTCAGGTGATTCTGATTTGCAGTGGGCCTACCAACTGCAGCGTGAAAAAATGGAGCTCTAGCACAGCTTCTAAACACTGGCTTGCAATCAGAATCACTGCAGGAGTTAATTAAAACAAAGAGGGCCATCCTTGGTAGGCATGGGGTGGATACCAGGGCTCTGCATTTTTACAACTTTGCCAGAGATTCTGAGAACAAAATTGTTTCAAACACACTTTTTGAGGGTCTGCCAAGGACTTCTCTTGCTTCATGGCCCTTGAGGTTTTAGAACATGGAAGGGGCTGCCCTTCTCCTTATTTATTAGGTTCTAAAAAACTTTAGGCATCTGAATTCATTAAGAGAGCTAAGCCTGAGAGACTGTCTGGGAAGGTCCCTGGTTGGGGCCATTTTTCCTGGGAAGAGGAGCTGCTACACAACTGAGGGATTCTCTTTCCAGGAAACCCAATTTGCCTTCACATGGGAGGTGCACTTAGCTACAGGAGAATCTGTTCTGAAGGGGGTAGTACCCCAAGAAGAACTAGATCCTCGCTGGGGTTATCATCTCTGCCACATGAGTGTCTGTGTTGCCTGCCACTCCAGTGCCTGCCACTTACCAGCTGTCTGTATTCTGCTTGAGCACAGGAATCCCTTTCCTCTCACCTTGAGGACACGACTCCAGCAATTCTCTCCTAGCTCAATCCTACATTCATCTTTAACTTCTGCCTCATTTATCTGATCCTCTTACAGCAAAGCTTCTGAAGAACTCTTCTCTTCCTTGACCCCACCACTCTACTGCAGCAGCTCGACAGCATCATGTTTCAAATTATCAACCTTCACGTGACCTAGCCTCCCAGTAAGATGCAAACAGCAGCAGCCCTTCATCTCAAGCAGGGCCTTTTCTTGGCTTCCGGTCACCACCCTCTCCTGGTTTCCCCCTTCTTCACTGGCAAATCCTTCTCAGTTTCCTTTGCTAGCTCCTCATGGATGATCTCTCAAAGTTGTAGGGCCCAGAGCTTGGTCACAGGACCTCTTCTCTTTTCCATCTATAATCATTTGATCCAATCAATAGCTTGAAATACCATCTATAGCCAGAGGGTTCCAAATTGTGTATGTCCAACTTGGGTCTCTGCTGACTTGTATGTCCAGTTGCCCAGTTCACACTGCCATTCTGATGTCTACTTGGCACTGCAAACCTAAGGTTCCAAACTGAACTCCTCATCTTCCCCCATTGCAGCTGATCTGGGCAGAAACCTTAGTTACCCTGACTTTTTTTCCTCATATCCCAAACCAAACCATATGTAAATTTTGTCAGTTTTACCAAAATACACCCATAATCACACCACCTCCACCGCTTCCACCCTGGTCTGAGCAACCATCATCTCCCTGTTTTCTCCATACCTCCCTACAACAGCAACCAGAAATTTTGTTAAAATATACTCAGACCATGTTACTCTATGCAAAACTTCCAATGGCTGTCATCTCACTCACGAGGCTTACATGATCGGCACTCCTCCTTCTCTCTCTCTGATCCCCCCTCTCCTACTAACTATTCTCCACTCACTGCTCCAGCCACACTGGCTTCCTGACTGTCCCTCACACATGCCAGGTAAATTCTTGCCTCAGGGCCTTTGCCCCTGCTGTCCCCATGCTTGGTGTGCTCTTCCTCCTGATAATCTCAAAGTTTACTCCTTCACTTTAGGTCTTTTTTTCTTTCTTTCTTTCTTCCTTCTCACGCCCACCCACACAGTGAAACTGCTAGGATGCTCTACCACCTTTAGGTCTTGATTCAAATGTACCTTCTCAGTGAGGCCTTTCCTGACCATCCTACTTAAGACTGCAACCCTCTCCAACACACCCTATTCCCCTTCCTGTTTTTCTCCACAGCATTTTACTACATATTTTACTTAGGTATTTTATTTATTATTTGTCTCCCCCACTAGAATGTAAACTCCGTTAGGGCAGGGACTTTTTATGTTTTGTTTAATGATGTTTCATCAGTGCCTAGAACAGTACTTAGCACAAATAGAAGCAGGCTGGATGGTTATTCAGGTGGTTAGAGCACCACCTTGTAACACCATGAATAAGGGTTCAGACTCCCATGCCGCCAGCTGCCCCCCCTTCCCCACCAAAAGCATAAATACATATATGTTCAATGAATGAAGGAATGAATGAAAGCAGGTTATGTACCTGGGTAGAAGGTAATACTCAAATGAGGAGACTGAAGAATTTATGGGGGTGAACCCCAGGCCTACCTCCAGAGGTATATTTACCAGGGCCAGGGAGTCGAATCTAGTTTGAGAGGTATTTAGCTATGGGAAGGGGATATTTTCCCAATAGGTAACTAATAGGTACCTATCCCAATCTTGGGGATATTTACTTATATAGAGAGAATGTAAATCCCAATCACAGAGATATGTACTCAATCGGTGGGGTGGAAGTGGAGGAAATACTTCTCAATTCAGGGTGGGGACATCACTTCACCTTCAATCTGAGGAGTATTTACTTGGGTATAAGATCTAGGGAGTAATTAAGCCCATGGTGGTGACCTGCCAGTCTCGGAGTATTTATGCAAATAAACAGATTTGCCTCAGTCCGGATGTATGGACCCAGGGGTCTGTGTGGGAAGCGGAGGAGGAATCTAGTCAAGGGGGATATTTACCCTGGTGAGATTTCCCTTTTCCGGTATGTTCATTCTTATGGGGGAGATCTGCCCCTGTTTCATTCTAAGAGGCACTGACCAGGGTGGAGATACCTTCTCCCTTCTAGTCGTAAGATACGTGTGTATCCCGGCGCATCTAGTAGTATCCACGCAAACAAGAAGTTCTGCACCAGCAGGACCGTCATTTACCAGCTAGTATCGCGGGGACGGGGGCGCCCCGTTGCACGGTACACCACAGCCGCTCTCTAAAACAAACAGGACCTGGTTAACGTGGGCCGGGCAGTATTCACCTGGGTCAAGTTCTCACCTTGCAGGAAAGAAGCAGAGCCATCCGGCCGGGACAGCAGGTTCTGTTCGCAGGCAAAGTGCCGAAGGCTGCAGCCGGGGCCCCGAGGGCTAGACTCTATTCCAGGTTCAGCGCGCATATTGGCGTCAGTATACACGGTGTGGCCCCATAGTCCGACACTCCTCGTGCGACCAGGATTGGCACTTCCGCTCACCAGCTGCGCTTGCGTACAGGCTTCGTACCCAGCGCGCAGGCGCAGAGCCGGGGGCCGTCCGAGCGTGGCTCAGCGTTTACCAACAATCTGGCTCCTCCCGCTCCCGCCTCCTAACTCCGGCAAAGGTATTGGATAATAGAAAAGAAGGCCTTGGCATGGGCTCGTCCTACCCGAGGCCCCTGGGTCCTCAGTGGTTTCCCTGAGGCTGTGGTTAGGTTGCCCTCTTTTTGGCCTGTTACAGGAGGAACTACTATGAGGAGATCGGAGTAATTCTGGAGAAGAAGGATTGTCTTCCCCACCCATCTGTGCGTCCTAGCGACCACGGGAGCGGAAGCAGGCGTTGTCTTGGCAGAGTGGTGCTAGTATTTGAGTCAGGCTCGTGAAGGGGCAGCCCCCAGTCTAGACTAGGAGAGGGGCGGATCGCCGGGTGGTTGTTAGCCAAGATGGCGGTAGCGATCGCTGTGCCGAGGGTCTGGGGGCCAAGCCGCGGCCTGAGGCAGGCTGCCCTCCTGCTGCTGCGGCGGCCTGGACCTCGGGGGATTGCTAGAAATGTGAGTACCTGCCGCCCCAGTGGGGAGAAGGGACGTAAAGGCTATCTTCAGAGCGTGGGGTCCCTGCAGGTTGTGAAGGAAGGGCTGTCATAGAAGGGAAAAGGAGTGGGACCACTTGGAGAAGACACTCAAGGAGAGAACTTGCACTTCCTTGGGAGAGGGAAAAGCGAGGTAGCTCTTTTGTGGACCCTATGGGAGGGGGGCATTTTGGAGAGAGGGATGAGGGTTCCTCACTAGTTTCTACACATCCTCAGGTTTGGCTCCTTGGACGGGCAGGGGAGGGCGGCGAGACCTTTTCCCTCGAGGGTTGGAAAATGAAACTAACTTAGTAAGGGAGAGACTTCTGAGTAAAGATTCCTCTCTCTCTCTTTTTTTTCTTTGTGACTGGCCATTACAGGGATCAAACCCTGGACCTTGGCGGTATCTCCACCACGCTCTAACCAACTGAGCTAACCGGCCAGCCTAGGGCCCTCTTCAAAGAGGAGAAAGGAGAGATCAGGTCCCCGTCACGGGCTTTTGTAGGGCTCTGCATTTTTTGCTTCTTTGCCACAATTCTAATTTTAAAATTATTGTGTGAAAAAACTCTCTTTTTTTGGTGGTGGTGGCCGGCTGGTACGTGGCTCCAAACCCGTGACCTTGGTGTTACAAGGCTGTGCTTTTTTTTTTTTTTGAAGATGACCGGTAAGGGGATCTTAACCCTTGACTTGGTGTTGTCAGCACCACGCTCTCCCGAGTGAGCCACGGGCCGGCCCACAAGGCTGTGCTTTAACCAACTGAGCTAACCCGCCAGCCCTCGTTTGATTCTTGTCTCCTCTGATCGAATGTCAGACAGGGACTTCGTGTGTTCTGGGCACTGCACAGAAGAGATGATCAGTATGCATTTGTTGAATTAATGAGGGGAGAAAAGAAGGGAGAAAGGCGCCAGACGGCACTTTGCCCACATTTATTAGAAACATTTGAGAAAACTTTGTTTCTTGTTAAAAGGGTCAGAATTCTTTTAGGCAGATGCTGCTAAGGACAAGATCACACTATAAAAAAATCTAGCTGGAAGCCCCCGTTTAGAAGGGGAGAGGCATTGGGCTGTCGAAGAGATTTGAACTAAAATTTAGCAGGTAAGAGAGTAGTGGTGAAGTGGGTCGGTTCTGGAGCTAGACCAAATGAGTTCATCTACCTGCTGTGACACTTTCCAGTTGTGTAGCCTTGGGCCTAATATCCATATCTGGATCTAATATCCATGTCTGTAAAGTACTAACAGTGGCCACCTCATAGGGTTGTTGTAAAAATTCGGGTTGTTGTAAAAATTCGGGTTGTTGGGCCGGCCCGTGGCTCACTCGGGAGAGTGCGGTGCTGATAACACCAAGGCCCCGGGTTCGGATCCCACATAGGGATGGCCGGTTCGCTCACTGGCTGAGCGTGGTGCTGACAACACCAAGTCAAGGGTTAAGATCCCCTTACCGGTCATCTTCTTTAAAAAAAAAAAAAAAATTCGGGTTGTTGTAAAAATTCAATATGTAAAGTGCTAAGACTGAACCTGGCACATCGTAAGGGCAATGGGAATGTGGGCTACTGTTGTTAGTGAGGGTGGAGGGAAGGGACAGAAACTGACCTTGGAGATGGGGAGAAGAAAGGAGATGCCCTTTGGAGGATCTGGATTGCCAGGGCCCTCGGGAAAAACCTATCAAGATCTCTGACCCTCTGATCCCCAATCCTTAAGGGAAGGTGGAGTCTGTAGGAGAAGCTCTGGGTAGGGGGAGAAACGCGGAGGAGGGTGAGTAGGAGGGGCCTGGAGTGGAGGCGTGGTTATCTAGGAAGGCAGTCACTTGAAGCAGGTAAATGCAGGTTTGCAAGAGTAGGATGTTGGAAAGGCAATCTCCTGCCTTTGGGCTGTTCCATTTTGATTTTTTATTTTTATGGATCGGATTCTTTACAGCTGATCTAAGTTCCAGGAGCCCATTGGCTGGGCAAGTCGGGTGGGAGGTGGGCAGGGCTGGGGCATGCACAGGGAAAGGTCATTTGTGGCTGATTAAATCCATTTCCCTCCTGGTTTAGTCTCCTTGTTCCCTTCACTCTTGCCTCCCCTCCTTCATGTTTTGGGGGAAGGGAGGAAGAAGGCCCTACTTTTTATTTATATGTTAAAAAATTTATATTTTCTTGAGTCACCTTTTTCTCCTCACTTGTATATCTCCCACCTGTTCTTTCTTTCTTTCTTTTTTTTTTTTTTTGTCTTTTTCGTGACCGGTAAGGGGATCGCAACCCTTGGTGTGGTGTCGCCTGCACCGCGCTCAGCCAGTGAGCGCTGTGAGCGCACCGGCCATTCCTATATAGGATCCGAACCGGCGGCGGGAGCGTCCCTGCGCTCCCAGCGCTGCACTCTCCTGAGTGCGCCACGGGGTCAGCCCCCACCTGTTCTTTCTAAGATTAAAAAAGAGACTCAACTTTCTTTGAGTGGGGGGAAAGGGTAGTAGCATTTGGTTAAAGAAGATTTTACACCAGGACTATCCTAAAGAACTTTTTGTGATAGTGGAAATGTTTTATATTCGCGTTGTCCAGCACAGTAGCCACTTAGCCACACATGGCTAATGGACACTTTAAATGTGGCTAGTGTGACTGAGGAACAGAAGTTTTTTTTTTTCTTTTTTTTTTTAAAGATGACCGGTAAGGGGATCTCAACCCTTGGCTTGGTGTTGTCAGCACCACGCTCAGCCAGTGAGCAAACCGGCCATCCCTATATGGGATCCGAACCCGTGGCCTTGGTGTTATCAGCACCGCACTCTACCGAGTGAGCCACGGGCCGGCCTGGAACAGAAGTTTTAGTATTATTCAATTTTTTAATGAATTTAAGTTTATTTTGTTTATTTATTTATTTATTTTTTAAAAAATGATGACCGGTAAGGGGATCTCAACCCTTGGCGTGGTGTTGTCAGCACCACACTCAGCCAGTGAGCGAACCAGCCATCCCTATATAGGATCCAAACCCATGGCCTTGGTGTTATGAGCACTGCACTCTCCCGAGTGAGCCAGGGGCTGGCCCCACTAATGAATTTAAGTTTAAATAGCCGTAAGTGTCTGGTGGCTGTCATATTGGGTGGTGGAGTTTTTATGAAGGTGGAGATGAAGAGATAGTGCCTTAGGGGAAGGTTTGGGAGGTTGCATTGTGATGGACAGATTTGATCGGATTCCTGGGGCAGGTCAGGTGGGAGGAGGGATGGGGCTGCCTTACTTGTCCTTGCTTTCTTGCCACTCCTCTAACCACCCCTTATACTGAGTACACTGCTGCCTTGGAGGTGTTTGCCTGTTTTCCTCCTCTCTTCTTCCTCCTGCTATCATATCTCTAGGAGAAGAGAAGGAAGGCAATTCAGATTGTCAGGGAGTTATGAGTCAGTTTCTCAGTCACCACCCCAGCCCCGGGCTTGGCCAAGCCATTTCACTTCTCTGACTCTAACAAGTGCGGTAAATTTAGTCCTTAACCTATTGGAAGTCAGGGAGCACCTAAGTTCAGTCTGCTAATGATCAGTAATGTTATTTTTCCTACCTAGCTGTTCCGGGGCAGTCTGTCACAGGCTCTAGTGCCCTGTGCCGTATCTCCAAGTGGTAGGTGCCCATTGTGTATTGTGGGATGAATGGAGATGATCATTATTGATCTCTTAATCAATTGGGTCCAACTCCCTCTTGGCTAATATCTTAAGAAACCTGGTCCCTTTTCACATCATGAAGCACTTCATGACATAATGCCAGCTCACATCCATTATTATATTTAATACAGGCACACTGCAAGGTCTGTACTGGTAGTACTCTGCTATTACAGGGTGGGAAACGGAGGCCTGGAGAGATGAGGTCTGAACTTGGAGCTCTGGACTCCAAAGCCCAATTTCTTTTCATGGTACCAGGCTGCGAGGAGGAGAAGGGGTGGGGCTTAGGTTCAAGTCTTGCAACATCCTGCTTAGTCCAGTCCTGGCATGTATCACCAGCCTCTGCCCAAGCCACTCTGCCTGGGCTGTTGGGGCTTGTTGGAAGTTAGGTTGGGAAGGTCTGGCCTCAGCCCCCAGTGTGTCTTCCCTTTCAGTGCTTTAGCTCTGCTGGTGATCTTTTCCTTCCTTGAGTGTGCCTTCTCCCATCTGGAGGCCTTTGTAGGTATGTGGTTCTTCAGATGACAGCTGACCTGCCACTTCCTCAGGGAAGCTTTCTGGACTCAAAATGCCAAGTCTCCATCTATAAAACAGGAACAATAATAGTACCTCTGTTAGAGATCTGTGGTGAAGATTAGAGAGAATGCAGTCAGGCCTCAAGAAATGGGAGCTGCTGCTTTTCTTCAGGTGTAGTAAATCTGGTGTTGTCCTGACTGAGTCAGTCAAAGAGGTAAATGCCCTCCCTGGGCTCATAGCACCTTCAGTGCCTGGGGGAGCCTGGTGCTACTAAAGCCCCTGGTTCCCTGAGGCCAGAGAAAGCATGATTAATCTCCATATCTCTTCCTCCCAACCAGAAATCCTCAGAAGGGGAGGCTCAGCTCTTTGCTGTTTGAGGACAGAGTGTGTCAGAGCCCAGGACAGAGTGGGTTTGATTGGCCTTAACTGTTCTAGGTATGGAGGACTGGGAGTTAACTGGCACCATCCACAAAACTTTCCATGCTCTGGACCTGACTTTTCTTCCAGTCTCCCCAGGCAGTAGTGGTCAGGCTGCCTGGCTGCTTATGCTAATATGACCCCTCTCATTATCTCTGTGGCCTCAGACAAGTTGCTTAACCCCTCTGGGCCTCAGATGCCACCTCTCTTGTGGAGGTATAGTAATAATAGTGCCTGCCTCACCTGGATGGCACATGGGTTCAGTGAGCACATAGGCATAAATAAAGTACTTTGTGGAGTGCTGTATAGCTGGGGACTATGCCACTTGTCGGGTTACAGAAATAGCTACACCAGTTGTATGGCTAGGCATTTCATAACTAAAGCCAAAACGTTTCATTATTTTAGTTATACTAAGTTTCCATTTGTATTGTCAGGGCTAGGGCTTAGACCCTGCAAACCCATTGCACAGACTGGTTTACCAGACCTCTCACAAGCAGGCCCACGCTAGGTAATTGGGAAAGGTTCCGGGAGCCGTTGGCAGACGACATGAGCTCAGTCCTCAGCAACGACAGCAGTGTAGTCTTGGAGGGTCACAGGAGCCCTGGCAGCAACAGCCTCTAGCAACAGCGACCATCCCGGGGGCAGGGGGCCCTGTGGCTCACACCCACTCATCCTTTATACTTAAGTCCATAATCCAGGACACTTGGGCACACATGCGTGATTACATTAGACAATAACCAAGGAGCACCTGGGTGCATGTGCATATTTACATCAAATGCTCGGCAAGATTCTGAACATCTGAGAGGCCCTGAGCATTTTCCTATATTTTCCCAACAGGTGCCTAGACACATAGTTGGCTCTTGTTAACCCGTTCCAGCCATACTGGTCTTCAGTGTTCCAGGATGCCGGGCTCTCTTCTCCTGCCTCAGAACCTTTGTTGTTGCCTAGGACTGAAGTATTCTAACCCTGTAGGCTTAAGGCCTGCCTCATCCCTGCCTGCTGAGCAGGGCTTGGCTCAACTCCCCCTTCTCTAGGAAGCCTTTTCCTGGTGCTTCATCTGATGCTTGCTAGTGAAAGGTTCCTCCTAGAGCTATGACTGGTGTTTTACCTGCCTCTCCATGAGCCTGTGAGCCAGATATTATTATCTCCATGAACTGACATAGGTTCCGGAAGACAGGCTTTTCTGCCCAATGTCACATGGCTGAAAAGGGACAGAACGAGGATTTGAACACAGACAGTTTAGTTCTGAAGTCCTTCCTCCTACCCTACCTTGTGGTGAACCATTATACTATCCTGTCTCCTCTGAGATTGTCCTTCACGATGGTTACTTGTGTGTTCAGTGTTTGTCATCCATCCCTCCCCATCTCCAGTCCTCAATTCAGGGCCTGACTTGAAACAGATATTCAAAAGCTACCTGTTTGGCAGTAACAATCATCAAGTACACTTGTTAGCTGCTTCTATTTATCAAGCATTTGTTATGTGCCAGGCACTGGGCTGACCAATCTATATGTATCAATTTGTTTAATCCTTATGACAACCCTGAGATAGGTACTCATGCCACCCCCAGTGTACAGAGGAGGAAACTGAGGCTGAGGGAGTTTTTATTTTGTTTTTTGTTCTTTCCAGGGAGTTTTAGTTACACGATCAGGAGCCCACAGTCTGCTTAGAGTCTGCGCCCTTAACCATGGTGTCTTAGGGAATGACTCCACTGGGCAGACCAGACCATCCAGGGAAGGCAGGTGGTGCTCTTCTGTGTGGTGGGAGAGGATGTGGCTTCGAGGCTTTGTGTAAATCTGTGCAGCCTCTGCCACCAGGCCAACCCCCACCAACACACACACACACCAAAAAACAGAAGGAAAAAAATAGGTGGAGTCGTATCCTTCCTCTGTAGGCATTTTACTACCCACTCCCATAATGGAGCATTTCCTCAGGACTAGGCACTGTGTGGAGCCTTTTGTGTGTCTCATTGGATCAGCACAGTAACCTTGGGGGTGGGGACTGCCATCATCTCCACAGGCCCAGGAAAGAAGGGGAAGGAGGACAGAGCCCAGGCCCAGCTGAGGTGCCCTAATGGTAGCTTTCCAGTGTGTGGAGTATGTCAGGGTGCCCTGATGGTATCTGTCCGGTATATGGTGTGCATTGGAGTGCCCTGACAGCTTTTGAGCCTACAAAGGCAGACAGTCCTGCCCTGACACCCTGGTTTATTGTCAGCCCTCAGACCCTATACTCTTGACTCCTGCTGGCTCTGAGCCTACTCTCTCAGTGCCCCTCCCCAGACTTCAGCCTTCAGTCCTTTCTGTTACCATATCTCCCCTGTGCCTCAGCCTCTCTCTCTCTCTCTCTCTCTCTCTCTCTCTCTTTGTAGTGTCTGCTGGGGCCACAGTTTGATGTTAAAATCCAGTTTAGGGTGCAGTCAGTCCTCCCCAACTCCTGCTTTTCCCCATCTTTTTCCTAAGGTGCCATTCATTTTCCTTTTTCCCACTTTTTAACCTTCCTAGGTTTTGTTTTTCTCCCTTTTACCAGTTTTTGAGCACATAACACGTTCCAGGCCTGTGCTGAACCCCTTGTGTGCATTATCTTAGGAATTTTTCACACAGCCCTCTGCAGCCTTTTTACATAGGAGGAAATTCAAAGAGATGAAGTCTTTTTCAGAGAACCATGCAATGACCTAAGAAAGTGGAACCCAGGTCATTCTGACTCCAGAGCCAGTGAACTTAACCACTCGTTCGTGCATTCTGTAATTAACCTATTGAGTGTCTGCTGTGTAAGCCAACCTGGATGCTCTTCTTGCCTTCCTGGAACTTGTGTGTGTGGGAGACAGACACAAGACAAAGAAGGGAGAAGCTTGGTGCTATAAGAAGCTGGCTGCTTCCTCCTTGCAAGGGGAGGGGAAGTCTGCTGTGATGTTCTCAGACCTGAACCTGCCTTGCTGTTGGGAGTGTAATCTCTTCACAACCACAAATGCAGATAAATGAACACACATAAAGTGCTGCCCCTCTGGAACCTTGGATAGCCTGTTCATTGCAATTAAAGGAAGGGAGGGGGAAACACTTGAGCACCCACATGTGAGATTCAGCTCCTGGCAAACCTAGTCCTTCTTTAGCTCCCATTCAAAGTGAAGCCACAATTACTGAACTAAGGAATTGGGGAGCAGTGGGGAAAAAGGCACAGATGTGTGAAAACCAGGCTGGCAATGTCAGTTGGGATTAGGAGCATGCATTTTGGGGTCTGGATCTCAGCCCCGCCTATGTTTGAAGTCCAGTCCTGACATAATTTTTCTTTTTCACTTTTTCTTTTCTTTCTTTTTTTTTTTTTTTTTGATAGCTGGCCAGTATGGGGATCCGAATCCATGACCTTGCTGTTATAAGGCTGTACTCTAATCAGTTGAGCTAGTCAGCCAGCCTATTTTGCTCTTAGATTTGTGGCCTCATGCAGGTTATTTTACCTCTCCAAGCCTTAGTTTCCTCATCTACTCAGGGGCAATAGCAAATAATCCAGCCTCACAGATTTTCTGAGTACTCAGTAAGACTGCGCATGACAAGTTCAGCATGGCACACAGCGGGTGTGGGCTTCATAACCCTAAACCTGGTCCAGTTCAAGGCTGTCTGGCTCAAGAGCCAAAAATTCTAATTGGTCCACATCCTACTGAGTATTTAGACTTCTCACAGGTCTCTTGGGCTTTCCCAGCTATGCTTCCTCTGATCTGAGGATGTGTGATGTCCTCACAGGAGTCCTCCAGCCACTCTGAGCTCTTTCCAGTTTCCACATAGTACATACCTTTCCTCACTTTTTGTCTTTTGCATGTTCAGTTCCCCCTGCCTGGAATGCTATTTTTCTAACTCCTAGTTGTCCTTCAGGTCTCAGTTGTAACATCACTTCCTCAGAGAAGCCTTCCCCTCTGTTGTAGAATAATATGAATCATTACTTGTTCAGCTTCTGTCTTACCTGTGAGGCAGCAAGGACAGATGTCTTGCCTGTCATAGGCTCCCAGAATGAAGCAGAGGGGTTGAACAAAGCAGGTGCTCAAATATTTGTTGAATGAATCAGCCTGGGCTTGCAGGGGGAGCTGGGACTGGAGTAGAGAGGGCACTGGAGCATGTGGAGCAGTTTGCCAGGGGATGGGGAAGAGGCCTTCTTGTAAAGAGAGGAGAACAGAGGTGTGATGGTAGAACGATAATAGCCAACATATTTTTTGAGCATTTACCATATGACTTACAGATATTCTTCTGCACATTTTATATGCATGATCTCATTTAAGCCTCAAAGCATTTCCATGAGGTGTCTTCCATTTTAGACAAGGAGGGAGACACTTGAAGAGGAGAAGTCACTTTGCCATGTCACTCAGTAAGGGATTTGAACCCAGGCAGTCTGACTCTTAAGAGCTCTAAGATTTAAGATCTATTCTGTGTGACCTCCCTAGTGTCTGGAATAGGGGTCAGTAAAGAGCCTGTCTGGCTGCCTAGAGGGTACTATGCCGAGGTGTATGTGCCTGTGGCAGCAATGGGAGATAGAGAGGAGGGGATGTCTGTGTCCAGACTGGGGCTTTGAATGCCAGGATGAAGAGTTTGGGCCTGTGATAATGAGAATAATAATAGGTACCAGTTCTTGTGCTGCTTGCCACTTTATTGAGTCATTTAAGGTTTGCAACAGCTCTATGGGATAGATGTTATTGTTTTTATCCCAATTTTACAGATGAGGAAACAGACACAGAAGTTGTAGTAACTTGCCCAATGTGTCACAACGAGAAAGTGGTGGAGCTGGGATTCAGACCCTGTGAGTCAGGTCCCAGAGACCACTAGGGCCATGGCGACTTAACCACCCTGCCATCCTTCCTACCAGCAGGGTTGAGCCAACTGGAACTTCAGTGTGCTTCTCCTGACATGGGCGTCACCCTTGCCCTGTCTCTCCCAGCACCTCCATAGGCAGCAGCAGCAGCAGCAGTTCTCATCGTTGGATGACAAGCCCCAGTTCCCAGGGGCCTCAGCGGAATTTATAGACAAGCTCGAATTCATCCAGCCCAATGTCATCTCTGGAATTCCCATCTACCGCGTCATGGACCGGCAGGGCCAGATCATCAACCCCAGCGAGGATCCCCACGTGAGAGGCTGCCTCCCCTGCTTTTGTGCCCCCCTGCCCAGGCCCCTTTCCCATCTTTTTTCTGGTCCCAACTGCTGCATGTCTGTCTGTGCTTCCATCTGCAGTTGCCGCAGGAGAAGGTGCTGAAATTGTACAAAAGCATGACGCTGCTCAACACCATGGACCGCATCCTCTACGAGTCTCAGCGGCAGGTCCATGGGGACAAGCCTGGGGAGGGGGGTTTGGAATTGCCTGAGGTCCTCCTACTTGCGTTTGGGTTGAAGGACAGCATCCAAGGAGGGGAGAGAGGGATGGAGATCCTTTTGGAGGTGTTTAGAATTCCTGGGGCTTGGGCCGGCCCGTGGCTCACTTGGGAGAGTGTGGTGCTGATAACACCAAGGCCCCGGGTTCGGATCCCATATAGGGATGGCCGGTTCGCTCACTGGCTGAGCGTGGTGCTGACAACACCAAGTCAAGGGTTAAGATCCCCTTACCGGTCATCTTAAAAAAAAAAAAAAAAAAAAAAAAAGAATTCCTGGGGCTCTGGGGGAAGAGTGTGGGAAGGGTCCTGCCCAAGGGCAGAAGGATGGACCTGACCACTAAAAACACCTACTGTGTGCCTTGCTGGGAGCTTTACCTGTGCTGAGAGAGGGCAGGGAGGAGAATGCCTGACAACACTTCCTCTTGGGAACTCACAGTCCCAAGAAACTGTGTGGCCCCACAGTGCTTCCTACAGTACTCTAGAGACCACCCTAGACCCATGTCAAATGCGCTGTGGTCCTCAGAAGTCTTAGTATCAGGGGACAAGGACCCAGTCAAACCGGTGTCAGTAAAGAGGGAATTTATTGACTCAAGTGCAAGTCTAGAAGGCCCTGTTTTCAGGCACAGCTGGATCCAGTGAGCTCAAAAGATATTATCAGTTCTTTTTCTCTTTGTGTGTCTCTTTTCTACTCTTCTTTGCCTTGGCTTCCTTCATTTTCAAGCACTGGTGGTCTCTGGCAGCTCCTGGCTCTTGAAGAGGTGGCAGAGAGAAAGGGTTCGGGTTACAGGCTCTGGAGCAAGTCTGTAAGATTGAAGTCCTACTTCTTCCTCTTTCTGCTCTGTGGCCCTGGGAAAGTTGCTTCTCAGTGCTTCAGTTTTCTTACATGCACCTACCTCATGAGGTTGCCATGAGGATTGATGGTGGCATATGTAATGGCCTTAAGAACAATGAAACTGGCATTTAGCCAGCACCTAATAAATATTAGCTATTACGGTCATCTCTTGGTACCCCATGGGGGATTGGTTCCAGGACCTCCTGCAGATACCAAAATCCAGAGATGCTCAAGTTCCTAATATAATATCTGCATATAACCTATGCACATCCTCCCATATACAGTAATGCACCACATAATGATGTTTTGGTCAATGACAGACTGCATATGCAACAGTGGTCCCATAAGATTATAATCATAATGCAATGCATTATCCACGTGTGAACAATAGGCTGTACCATATAGCCTAGTTGTGTAAGTAGGCTGTGTCATCTAGGTTTCTGTGAGTACACTCTATGATGTTCACACAACAATGGAATTGTCTAATGATGCACTTCTCCGAACATATCCCTGTCATTAAGCAATCCATGACTGTACTTTATTTTATTTTAGGCCACTGGCTGGTGTAGGGATCTGAACCCTTGACCTTGGTGTTATAACACCGCGCTCTAACCAATTGAGCTATCTGGCCAGCCCCTGCATAACTGTACCTTAAATCACCTCTAGATTACTTATAATACTTAATACAATGTAAATGCAATAAAAAATAGTTGTTATACTATATTGTTTAGGGAATGACAAGAAAAAAATTCTGTACATGTTAGTACAGATGCAATTTTTTTTCTCTGTATATTTTTCATCCTCAGTTGGTTTAATCCACGGATGCAGAGCCCACTGATATGGAGGGCTGAGTGCCTTATTTATTATGATCCTACCAGTCTTGCAATTATATCTTTCCCACTTAGCAGTGGAAAGAGAATGGTCCCTAGGGTTCTAGCAGAAGGCCCAGGGCTGGTGCTTATTGGCCAAGCTTTGGTCATAGACCCTGTCCTGAACCAATCACTATGATTGGTTGGCCAGGCCCGGGCCACATGCCCACCTCCTGGAACCAAGGGAATATAGGAGTAGACTTCATCCTTCCCAGGCCGCAGAGACTGAGAGCAGGGGCGGGGGATTCCTATTAGAAAAGGGGAAACGTGTTGGGCAGGCAGGCCCTTAGATGTTCCCCACTCCTGCTGCAACAGAAGTAGGAATTCTGTGAAACCCAGCAGGTAAGGTCCCTGCTGCATCAGAAGTGGGGTTGGGCTTGGGACTCCACATTTGTATCAGGCCCCTGATCCTGCTGCAGACTAAACCATGAGGCCCCTTGGGCTAGAGGATAGTACTGAGCAGATTTGGGTGGGTGGCCCACTCCCAGACTTCCACTCACAGGAACACTGTGTATGGGTTCCCAGGTTAGAGTAGTGTGTCCACCCTGCCTGGAAACTTTCCTCAGCTCCCACCGTCTACAGGATCAAGTCCAGCCCTTCCTGACCACCCCGTCTTCCCCGTTCCACTGTGGCCTCAGTGCTCTCTGCTCCCCTCCCACAGCCTCAGTGCCAGGCCTCGCCACTCCTGCATGCATAGACTCCTTCCTGCCCCTGCCTGCACTTTGCAGACGGGCTCTGGAATCTGACAGACTTGGGTACAATCACAGCTGTAACTTTGGGTAGGTGATTTTTTTTTTCCTTATCTTTGCTTCAGTTTCCTCATCTTTGCCTCAGTTTCCTCACTGTGTTAAAAAATGGGGCTAAAGATAAAACTCACCTTGTAGGAGCGGGGTAGGAATTCTGTGAGACCCAGCATGTAAGATCCCTGGCCCATTGGCTGACACAGGTCACCTTATCCATCACAGTTCAGCCTGTATCTGTTAGGATTATGTTTAGCTGTAAGTAACAGTGAGGTCCCATCATGATCCAAATGGCTGCTGGAGCTCGCTCCATCACATCTCATTCCAGACAGCAGGTAGACGAAGGTGGAATGTCAGACATGACACTTTATAGCTATCTCCCCACTGCCTCTTTTATAGAACTTTCCAGGTAGTTGTACCCAATAACATCTGCTTACATTCATTGGTCACTCCAGGCTGCAAGGGAGACTGAGAGATGTAGTCTTTCAGTCCAGGCAGTTGCTCTCTGTTAACAGAGAGGAAGGGTGATAGGATACTGGGTAGGCAGCCAGTAGTCTCTGCCACTAGCCCGTCTTGTTTCCTCAGGGGGCCCATCTCAGGCTCCTCCCCACGCTAACCTTGACAGCCCTGCCAGGCCCTCAGTACCCAGCATCTGCCCACTCACTTGGCACTAGAAGGTTGGTTAACTTTAATTGGCTCCCCACTTAGAAGAAAGCACTTATTCATTGGTTTCTCCTGCAGCAACTGGAAAGCCAGGCCTGAGGAACACATGAAGGAGGGCGCTGCTGAGCCCTGAGGGGGACTGGCCATGGGGTGTCCCTCAGGGTGCCATCACAGGCTCACTTTGTTTCATTCTACATACAGTCCTGGGTGATCTCACTTCCATGTGTATGCTAGAGGTTCCTCAGATCTCCAGCCAGGCTTCTTAGAGCCCCACATCTGTTTGGCTTCTTGCCCTGGATGTCCCACAGCAAACTCAGCTTGTCCAAACTTGACCTTGGCATCTTCCCAGACCTGCTCCTCTTCCTCCCCTAGTCCATTTCTCAGTGAAGGGAACCACCATCCTCCCATTTGCCCAAACCGGAAACCTGCACCTAATCCCTTTCTACCCCCTCATTCCCTGTGTCTCTAGATATTTCATTAGAAATTGTTCAGCTGCTTGGCAGCACCGCAAAAGCCCCAGACCCTTCCTCTCTTTCTGCTTCACTGTTGCTGGCAAGCTGGCTTTCACCCTATGCTTGTTGCTTCATGGTCACAAGATGGCTGCCACAGGTCCAGGCTTTGTGGCTATGTGCAAGGCAGGAAGAAGGGAGTAGTGACAGGGTGGGACTAGCTGCAGTGGTCCCTTTTATCCAGAAAGTAAAAACAGACTTCCATTGAAGTCTGTGGCTAAAACTGTGTCCCATAGCCACCTGCGGCTGCAAGGGAGGCTGGGAACCAAGTGTTTGTCTTTTCCAGGCTCTGAGATTGGGGTGTTTGGGAGCAGGGCACTGCCTGGGCACTGGTGTGGCCAATCAGCATGGTCTGCTGCTCCCTAGCACCACTGACTCAGCTTCTTAAGAGTCATCCATCTGCTCCTCTCCCTGCCTCCCACCACAACCAAGCCAGGCCACCGCCCCCTCTCTCCTGGCTTGCTGCAACCAGCCCTGTCCTCTCCATCTGTTTCCCAGATGGCAGCCTGAGAGAGATTTCTAAAACACAAGTCTGACCACATTGCTCCAATGAGGAGAACCGTCAGTGGGTTATCACTGTTCTCGGAGTAAAGTCCACATGCATCCTTCCCTGCCTTGTCTGGGTGCTACCTGCCTGTCCTGCCTCATCTTTCCCCACCTCTCCCACTTCATGTCCTAGCCTTTCTGGTCTCATGGCCTTCATTGTGCCTGGAACCTTCCACCCACACCCCCTTTGCTCAGCTTAGGCAGTTTTCCCTGATATCCTTCCATGGTGGGGCAGGTACCTTCTTTGGACTTCCATCACAGAGACCTGATCACTCTGGCTGTAACCAGTCCAGCAGTTCCTCCATGAAGGTAGGAACCCCAGCATAGCCTGGCCCAGGGTTGGCCTTGAGGAAGACTGTTGATTAATGGAGTCACCAGAAGCTGGGCAGGATTTGGCTGGTTCTCTGTCATTGCCCAGCATAACCAAGCCTGGGTCTCTGGGCCCCCCTCCACCCCAGGGCCGGATCTCCTTCTACATGACCAACTATGGAGAGGAGGGGACACACGTGGGGAGTGCAGCCGCCCTGGACAACACGGACCTGGTGTTTGGCCAGTACCGGGAGGCAGGTATGTCTGCCCATGGTTTGGCCCTGTGGTCTCCATCAAAGTGCCCATTTTAGTTACCTCAAGTGCTCCTCCAGGAATAGCATAATGCCAGAAAGGTCTGAGGAGCTGGAGGAAGAATGTTCCAAGCACGAAAGAGACAAGCCAGGGACAGGACTTTGGAAAGGGTTGACTTCCCCTCTTTGAAGGCTGAGAAGTATAGTAGAAGCCTGTGCTCTTAACCATTTATTACCAGTTGTCAGACTTTGGGCAAGTCACTTCCCTTCTCTAAGCCTCAGTTTTCTCATCTGCAAAATAGGGCTTATGAAAGTGCCTGCATTGAGGGGTTATTCGGAGATATATTGAGGGCCAGGCCTAGCCGTGGGTGTGGAATGTGCCCCTGTCCACCCAGTGCGGGGCTCTCCTGGCCTCTCTTCAGGCACTATATCCTCCAGGTAGAGGGAGCAGGTGGGAAGGCCTGCAGGGTCCAGCCGGGGAGCTTGCTAAGTGAATGAGTGAAAGGAAGGAAGATCAAAAATAGGAGTGAAGAAAATTGGTAAGCATTAATGAGTGCTGGGGAGTGAAGGAGTTAGCCCAGGGGGCAGTGAATTGGGTGATCTGGGTGTTGGTGTGGGGGCCCTGCAAGGGAGCCATCTGTGGGCATCAGCAAGTACTGATTCTTCCAGAGAGGCAAATCTTGACCCTTCCTCTTAGGCACTGCACGACCTTGGGCAAGTTGCTTAACTGCTTTGTGTCTCGTTTCCACATTTATAAGGGTCATGGTAACCCTTCCCAAGACAGCTGTTGAGGGGAGTTGTGGGGCAGTTGGCACAAAGCCCTCAGCACAGGGTCTGGCACAGGGTGGGCACTCGGGGTCGGAAGGCTGATGTGATTGGGGCCTCACTGTGGCTTTTCAGTAGGAGGTAGGGCCAGGCCAGGGTGGCTGTTCAGAGCCCTCTCTGGACCAGCATGGCATTCCAGTCTACTCTCAGACTGTTAACTCCCTTCACCTGGGCCAGGCCCCCATACCCCATGTGGCTAGGAGGGCAGATACTCTGGGATAGTTGTTTGAGGTTCAGCATCACTAGCAAGGAAACTGAGCTTTCCCAGACAGTGGGTAGCAAGCTGAGCCCCTGCCAGGTTTGCTGAGTGCTTCGTACATGTTTTGGCTGAAGGAGTCTCTTTTGTGAGGGCTCCAAGCAGGATCGAGTAAGGCTAGTGGGAATCACTAGAGACAGCTGGGCTTTCCACATGGCTGTTTGGCCATGGGCTGCCTCTGCAGGAATGAAAGCTCTGAAGGTTGGCAGAAGGCCCTGCATCTGGGTAGCTGTAGAAGGGTTTCATGTGGAGTGAGTCAGACCTGCACTCCAGCCCTGACTTGGCAGGTCACTTGCCATGGTGATGCTGTCTCTAGGCTGTGGAGTGGGGAGAAGAGCAGCCTTCATAACAATAGCTGGCATGGAGGTTCCGTCGCTTTGCCTTACCTGGAGTAAGGGCAGACTCCCCAGTTATGTGAGGCAGCATTACTATTACCTGTAAAAGCCAGGTGGAAACCTGAGTCAGAGAGGGGAGGTCATGGGGTCCAGGCCACAAAGCTCCTAAGGAGTGGAATGGTGTCTTCTTTATGGCAGTCTGACTCAGAGATGGCTCTCGCTCTTTGCTCTTTGCCAGCATAGTTGCCTTCCCAGGGCTGTTTGACCAATAAACCAAGGACTGTATGTGGAATGCTGATTGTGGCACTGGCAGGCAGTGGTGCTTAGTGAAAAGGAGTGTTAAGAGGTGTCGGGTGTCATGGGGCATTGGGCTCGTGAGTCTGTATTTTTAACAGCTCCTTCCCCTGCCTCTGCCCCGGTGTCTCAGGTGGTGGACCCAATTTCTGGGTCTTGTGGTGCAGTACCTTAGACAAACTCCAGTCCTCCACAAGGTCCCCCTTTTCCTCTTCAAGCAGAGCACCTCCTCTTCTGTTTTGTAAACAGCACAGCTACATTTTATGTGAATTTGTATTATCTTCGTTCAAAAGTATGTGACAGAAAATCCGAATAAGCTTGTATCAAAGGTGGATGTTGAAGTAATGCTAAACACCCTCAATCCTAATGAAAATTTCAAGAAGTGTATCATTTCAAAGCCGGTTGTCCAAGCAGTATTGAACTGTTTATGTTGGTGTCTCATGGTGGCATCCTTTTAACCGATAAACAGAAATACTTCCCATTCTCAGGCTCAATCTAGAACTGTGTGAGTTTTGCGTTATGCCAGCTCCCTACCCTGCCACTTAATGGTGGTGTGAAGTGGTGCTAGTTATGGGAGCGTTCCGTACGTCAGTTTCCTCATCTGTTAATGGGGAGGAAAATCCCACCTGCTTCATAGGGTTGTTGTGAGGATTAACTGAGTTACTCTATGAAAAGTGCTCAGAGTAGTGCTTGGCACGTAGTGTTATATTCATATTTGCAGCTGTTATTCAGAGAAGATGTGCATCCCTTGCACAAAATGTGACTGCTGTGTAACGTGATCCCTATTAAATTTTCATCTGAAGAAAGGGTTCTGCAGTAAAGAAAGGGTTTGGAAACCTCTGCACCAGATAGCTGCTTCTGTATAATGCTCATGCTCTCAGAGTGCTTCTGCAGGACATCACTGACCCATGCACTGCTCCCAAGGTGTGGCTGTGAGGACTATTCCCCCCTATAGGTGGGGCAAAGAGGGTCCTAGCTTGTCCTAGGATAATCGCAAACCCCCTCCTGTCTTCTAACTTAGCACGCGGGGCCCCCTTCACCCAGTTTGGATCTTAGATGTTGAGGTGGGTGTCCACCAGAGGGTTTGTTTGAAGAAAGGGTTTTAATACCACAAACAGGTTAGACTATTTCCTCTCTAGCCCAGAAGTTATGAATTAGTGGCCCGTGCTTTTATTTGGTTCGTAATGATGATTTTTTTTTAAGTAACTGAATTAGTTGAAAACACTTAAAAACTTCACAGTTTTGGGCTGAGCCCATGGCGCACTCGGGAGAGTGCGGCGCTGGGAGTGCAGCGGTGCTCCCGCCGCGGGTTCGGATCCTATATAGGGGTGGCCGGTGTGCTCACTGGCTGAGCACGGTGCGGGCGACACCAAGCCAAGGGTTGCGATCCCCTTACCGGTCACAAAAAGGACAAAAAAAAAAAAAAACTTCACAGTTTTTCATTGAAAAAGAAAGAACAACGAAAGGCCAGATTTCTGCTTTCTTTTGAAAAACTGGATTGTCTGGCCTCCCTGGTCAGCAGTCAGTTGGTTTGACCATTGGCCTCCGTTTTGAGACAGGCCTGTGCTTTCTGGTCTGCCCACCAGGTCATGTATCCGTGGCACCTGCCTGGTCCCCAGGAGCGTCCGAGTTTGCCTTCCCTGCTCTGGTCCAGCTTCTTTATTGTACAGATGGGGAAATGGCAGTCCCAGATCACTGACAGGGTTGGTCTGACCCTCCCACCCCCCACACCACCTACCAGGGTAACCACTGCCTCCTCCTTACCCAGGTGTGCTGATGTATCGGGACTACCCCCTGGAACTGTTCATGGCCCAGTGCTATGGCAATGTGAGCGACCTGGGCAAGGGACGCCAGATGCCTGTCCACTACGGCTGCAAGGAACGTCACTTTGTCACCATCTCCTCTCCACTGGCCACACAGATCCCTCAGGGTGAGGACGCAGACCAACCTCACACCACTGTCCAGGCCCCAGCCCTTCTCCATCCCATCTGGGTGGGCTTCCAGGTTGGCACCAACTTCAAAGCCCTGGTCTGTGCTTCAGACTTTCAAAGTACCTCTTGTCTAGGACCCTTCAGAGGAGGTGCTCTGGTGGTGTTCAGCAGTCTTGAGCTAGTATGGTCATACTCTGGATTTCCCAAACTTGTGTCCACCACATTCGCCTGCTCACAAACAGCTGGTGCATTCCTGAGTGCTTACCAGGCTCCAGGCACTGTGCCAGTGCTTCGCTTTCATTGTCTAATAGGACATTCACTGTGGCCATGGGGGTGGACGTGATTATTTACTGCTATTTTAAAGAGAAGGAAATTGAAGTCAAAGAGGGAAGTTGCTTGCTAAAGGTCACATGGCAGGTAGAGAGCAGAGCAGGAACTCAAGTCATGGGCTGAGTGACTCCAGGGCTCATGTTCTGATTCTAACCTGTGTCTGCTTCAGTCCTTGTAGTCAAGCAAACTCCCCTGAAGCTCACTCTAAGTGCTTTGAAGTCCCCTCTATTAAAAGGAGGACTGTGTGGGAAGCAGACCCACCAGGTGCCAGACCCAGGGCAGACAGGGTGCATGAGTTGTACCACTGCAGGCTTCAGCAGTGTGCCTGGCACATCAGAAGGCTCCGCACACCTTAGCTCATAGTGTTCTATTTGGGAACAGCAAGCAGCTCAAGCCTCTTAGGTAGGAGGTAGCAGGGAAGCTTTCCCAGAGGAGGTGGCATTTGAGCTAAAGGTAGGCAGGGTTTCCATAAGGGTGGGCCCTGGCCCTAACTTTCCATTTGGGTGCCCACTAAGTCACTCATTTGGCAAATGTATGAAGTCCCTGCTATGTGTTGGGTGCCACTGTAGGTGCAATGAACAAAAGACACAGAAACCCCAGACTTCCTGGTGCTGACCTAGTTGTGGGGGAGACAGACAGTAAGCAAGATGAAGGAGTAACACCTAGAGTGTGTCAGGGGTGGTAAGTCCTGTAGGGAACAATGAAGCCAAGGAAGGAGTGGTACGTGATGGGGGCAGGTAGTGGGGAGGCACCACTAGAAGGTGACATTTAAGCACAGACTGGAGGAGGTAAGGGAGGGGCCGCATGGATGTCTTGAGGCAGGTATCGGTGTTTGAGGAGCAGGAGGGAGCCCAGTGGGGCACGTGTGATGTGGGGGACGAAGAGCATGGGGAGGGTGGCTGGAGACAAAGTCTAGGAAGTGGTGAGGAGGATATAGGTGGTCAGATTGGTGGGGCCTTGTGGCCCTTGCCTTTGGTGGGGACTTTGGCCCAGAGTGGAATGGGAGCTATGGGTTGGGGAGGAGTCCATTGTGAAACAGCTTGGGCTGGCTCACATTTTAAGAGTCCTCTGGCTGTCCCATGGGTAACAGATTGGGATGGGGAGCTGTGCAGGTGGCCAGTGAGGAGGCTGCTCAGTAACTCAGGCAAGAGGTGTCAGTGGCTTGACCGGGGAGGTATGGAGGAGGTGGTGAGAAGGGGTAAGATTCTGGCTATATTTTGAAGATGGAGTAGGTATGGGGAATGACAGAGTGTGGCATCACAGACGATACAAAAGTTTTGGGCCTGAGCAATTGGAAAGTTGGAGCTGTGGTCAGCTGAGAGGGAGAAGATGGGGGTGGAGGGATAGGTTCATGGAGGGATAACCAGGAGGTCAAGTGTTTTCTTTCCCCTTAAAGCTGTTGACACCCTGCCTGAGCCCCCGAGCCATGGGCTGCTGCGTGTGTGTGTATGCATGCGTGCGTGCGTGCGTGTGTATAGCGCCTCCTGTCCTCACCACCCTCTCATTCCCCTGCAGCAGTGGGGGCGGCCTATGCGGCCAAGCGGGCCAACGCTAACAGAGCTGTCATCTGTTACTTCGGCGAGGGGGCAGCCAGTGAAGGGGACGCCCACGCTGGCTTCAACTTCGCCGCCACACTTGAGTGCCCTATCATCTTCTTCTGCCGGAACAATGGCTACGCCATCTCCACGCCCACCTCCGAGCAGTATCGTGGGGACGGCATCGGTATGGGCCCTGCTGGCCACCTCCCACTCTGCCTGGATCATCTCCTTCCTTCTGCCTCGCTGCCACCCTCTGTCCTCTTCCTCCGCTCTCTTCCTGTGGTGTCTGGCATCAGCTAGGTTGCTGGAGAAAGGAGCAGAGTGCTATTTTGCCCTCCTTTTCTCACCCTGTCTTCTTTCCTTCCTTCTGTCCCTAGTTGTTCCTTTCTGGCCCTGTGCATTTTCCTCATCTTAGCTCTGGGACCTGACCAGCCTTCTGTCTGTCCCCACAGCGGCACGAGGCCCTGGGTATGGCATCATGTCGATCCGCGTGGATGGCAACGACGTGTTCGCTGTGTACAACGCCACACGGGAGGCCCGGCAGCGGGCTGTGGCAGAGAACCAGCCCTTCCTCATCGAGGCCATGACCTACCGGTGCCTGCCTCTTCCGCGCCATTGTCCCCACAGCTCTGACAGCCACTGTCTTTAGCATCTCCTTTATGTTGATCACTGTCCCTAAAACATGGCCTCATCACTCCATAGTGCATCCCGTTCCTTGCCTTTATTCCATTTTTACCCCTTCCTCCCTAGTCTATCCCCCTCCCTCCCTCCTGACCCCCACTCCAGGGGGCCCCAAGCTGACCTTGAGCCCCCTCTCCCTGGGCAGGATCGGGCACCACAGCACCAGCGACGATAGTTCAGCATACCGCTCAGTGGATGAGGTCAATTACTGGGACAAGCAGGACCACCCCATCTCCCGGCTGAGGCACTACCTGCTGAGCTGTGGCTGGTGGGACGATGAGCAGGAGAAGGCCTGGAGGAAGCAGTCTCGCAAGAAGGTGAGGGGCTGGCCCACACCCAGGGGAATGTGTGGTAGAGGACTGGTCTGTCATGGAGAACTCTGGAAGGAGGGGATGCTGAGATTGGGGACATTGACTGGAGACTCAGGGACAGCCAGCCCCAGTGTTGTCTCCAGGTGTGGCCTGGGGAGCCAGGCTGCCTGGCCCATCTGTACCTCTGAAAGTCCTAGCTGTGTGGCCTTGGCAAATTATCTGTTCTCGGTGTCCTTGTCTTTGAAAGAGGGGATACTGGTGGTACCTGCTTCAGAAGGTTGCTTGAGGATTAGGTCACTTGATCCATGTGCAATATAAGTGCACTGCCCAGAGTCTGCATGTTGCCCACCTTGGCCTGGTCTTTAGGAGCCAGAGGCAGTGCTGTCCAGTGGTAAGGCAGACCCTGGTGTCAGGTGGCACCATGTGTCCTGTCTCTGCCCCTAATGACATCAGTGTGGGCAAGTTGCTTCTCTTCTCTATGCCTCGGTTACTCATCTCCTAGCTGCCCACTTCTTAGGGCTGCTGAGAGGCCTAAATGATTCCATAAACTTGGTACAGTGCCTGGTCCCTGCCTAGGATGGAGATACTGGGATTTGGGGGTTATCCATTTCATTGCTATTATGACGATCATCTCCATTGTCCAGATGAGAACACAAATACTCAGTGGTTAACCCTGTGCCAAGGTCCCACAGGTAGGAGGCCAGGCTCTGGGTGGGAGTGGCTGCTTGCCTACCGACTCATGTCCCCACAGGTGATGGAGGCCTTTGAGCAGGCTGAACGGAAGCTGAAGCCCAACCCCAACCTCCTCTTCTCAGATGTGTATCAGGAGATGCCCGCCCAGCTTCGCAAGCAGCAGGAGTCCCTAGCCCATCACCTCCAGACCTATGGGGAGCACTACCCCCTGGACCACTTTGAGAAATGAGGCCTGGTCACCACACCCCTGCCTACCCTCAACTATCCTGACAAGTAGCCCCACTCTGAGGGGAGGAGGGAGAGCTGGTAGGACTCTACCCCCTTCCCCAGCCAGCTCTCTCTAAAATGCTCAGGGGCCAGGGTGGCACCTGAAACTGTAATGAGGGCAGCTCCTGCCCCGATCCCTGCTCCTCCAGGCTATTATATTTGGAGGGGCGGGGCATGTTTGCAGCAGTTGCTGAGGCTCCAGCAGCACCCCTACCTTATCTGTTGTTACAGTGCCTTCTCCCACGGTCTGGGCAAGGGAGTCTCTAGGACTAGGAGCCCTTCTGGCCTGGGGGCGGGCTGGCAGGTCAGCCTATGGAACTTGGTTTGCAGTGAGAGGCAGTCTGCAGAAATGGTGAATAAACTGTGTCTCTGTATTTGGCTCTGCACCACCTCTGGTCTCTGTTTCCTGGGGGTTTGGGGTGGGGGAGAGTCTAGCAAGACTCATTTGGGATCACCCCCAGTTTCTCTACCTCAGATAAATAAAGCCAAAGCTGTTGAGATATCTACTTCCCCTGGAATCCTTTGCAAGCTGGAGGGTCAGCTTCAGCAGACAGGGTGGGGATGGGGGTTTTCCAGAGATTGTCTCCTGTTCTTCTACAGAATGGGACAAGCCTGGTGTCCACCAAAGTGACAAAGAAGTTCATTGGAGCTGGCCCTGCCTAGTAAGGGGGTTGTCTGATATGAAGTTCAGGGCATGGCTGAGCTCTGCTCCATCCCATTCTGGGGCCCACAGACAAAAAAACAATTCCAGGCCTCAGAGTGGTCAGTGCATATTTTTCAAAAACAAAAAGCAGAGAAAAACGATTCACCACTTATCCTGCCTGCCCAGTGCACTGGCTGGGAAGGTCCCAGGAGAGGCTGAAGAAGTCCAGCTTCTCAGACCTCCTCCCTCAGACCAAGGCCTGGAAGGAGGGGCCAAGCAAGGGGCAGGCATCGGTCCCAGGCCAGAGCGGTCTTCCCTACCCCTGCCCTCCCCACTGAGGTTCAGCACTGGAGCTGTGGATCTTGTAGTTGTTTCCAGAGCCAAATGCTGTCCTGAGGGCTGAGGGGCCGTACCAACAGCAGGTTGCGGAGAGTGCAGGGATCGGTGGTGCGGTCTGCTGGCCAGGCTGTGAGGAAGCCTGGGTGGGCCCGGGGCACCAGGCCCAGAGCACGGAAGCAAAGGCCAGTGTAGACATCATCAAAGGGGAAGGGTGCCACACGGGCTGCCGCCCGCAGTAGCCAGGGTGCCAGGCGCCCCGCGATGACATAGCCACCTCCACTTGCATAGGCCGGGTAGCCACCTTCGAAGAAGGACCCAGGCACATAAAAGGGTCCTCCAGGCTTCCGGAGGGGTTTGGCCTGGGTGAAGACTTCACCCAGGTAAAGGCTTCGAGCCCAGGTGGGTGGCAGGGCCTGCAGGTGATCCAGCAGGGCAGAGGTGTGCACAAAGGCATTGTCCTGAGCTTGCAGAACAAAATTCACGTTGGGGCAGTGGCGGCCCAGCCAGGCCAGCAGCAGCAGGTCTTTGAGCGTCTGGTTGAAGGGAACATCAAGGAAGTCCCAGAGCAGTAGGTCACTGTAGCGACGGCTCTCCCAGGCCACCAGTGAGCCTAGGTCAGGCCCCCCATCACCTGCCGGGGACCCCAGCAGGAAGAGCAGCCGGATCCCAGGGGCTGGACTGCCCCACGTCTCCCTCACAGCCTGTCGTTCTGCAAAGCGCCCAGGTTCTGACTTGACAGCCAACAGTAGGTAGGGGACATCAGTATCCGAGCAGCTGGCCACTTGGCTGCCTCCTCCTCCAGGCAGCCACTGCGGGAAGCTCCGACAGGCTGCTGACAGCAAGAAGCGGCGGAGGTCCTCAGGGTAGGAGGTAAAGTCAGGGATTTCTGCAGCGGCAGCAGCCCCCCAGGCCTGGCAGCCCCCTGCCTCAACGCTATCCCCACTGGGCAGGGCCACTAGCCTCCACTGCTGCTGGTTCCAGTAAGCTGAGGGCAGTGGGCCAGTCTGGCCCAGGCGCACTGAGAGGTTGGCAGGCAGGGTGGGCTCAGGGTTGGCTGGCGTGGGGCCTGGCAGGGTGCCCCGGGATCCTGGATAGGCCTTACTAAGCCGAGACTCAGATGTCCACTCGATGTACACTTTGAGGCCCAGGAGTGTGAGCAGTGCTGACAGGCAGAGAAGGCACTTGGGACAGCGCATGACCCAGCCCAGGGAACGGGCAGCCACGGGAGCTACAAGGGAGCCACAGGGAGCCACAGAGGCCTTTAGGGAGCAGGGATGGGCCTTCTCTGGAGGCCCCAGGCAAACAGTCTCTCAGTCTCCCACAGTCCCAGCCAAGCCGTGTAATAGCTTCTCTCAGTCCCAGACCCTAAACAGCTCCTCCCACCCAAGGACCCAACTCCTCCTTACTCTTAGACCCAGGAATACCCTATTCCAATCCCATCCCAACACCCTGTTCTTTTGACTCTGGGTCCAACTCCTTACACCTTCCTAGAAACCCAGAAGGTCTACCTATTCCCCATCTCCACCCCGGGGATTAGGAATTTACCATTCCTGTCTCCTCCCTCTCCCTCCATTCATCCCTCTCACCAGGAATCAGGATCGCTTGATTCCTAGTTTGCTGGGATTAGCTCCTTCCACCTTCTTAGAAGCCCAGCCTATCTCCCCCCCAACAGCCCCCCCCAGGGTCTGGGGGACCAGAGTTCCGGCTCCTCTTTACCTCTGGGTCTGGCTCCTGCCAGCTCCGGCACCCTGCCGGGCCTCTGGTCAGGCCCTCCCTCGTCTGCCTCTGTTCTGCCCTTGCTGGTGCGGTGCGTTGAGTCTCCCAGCCCAGCCTAGCCCAGCCAGTCCAGTGGGGCGGGAGGGGAACAGGAGGCATGGAGAGCCCCAGGGGCCGGGAGGGGCTGGGGCGGGGCTGAGGGAGGAGGGAAGGGAAGGGCAGGAGGCCGACCTAGAGACAGGCTCTTGCGTGTTAGGGCTGGTTTTCTGGTGAGACAGCCACTGGAAAGGTGCAGGGGGTGGCCACAGGAACAGACGGGGATCCCTGCAAGGCCTGGGAGGGGAGAACCAGGGGCTAGGGGAGAGAGTCCAAGGGAGGGTGAGGCTGAGGACTGGTCCTGAGCCGGGGCTGGGTAGTGTCAGAGTGACCTGTGGTGCAGAGTCCCAAAGAGCCAAAGACGGGGAGGCCGGGGGGCTGGCGCCAGTCTGTGGCCAGGAGACAGCTGTGAATGTGCTGAGTGGGAATGGATCGGCCTGCCAGAGATACGAATGTTTGTTGTTGCTGCCTAGAGTCAGGGTGGGGGGCGGGTGAGGAGAAGCAGGGAGAGGCAGAGACATGGAGAGGGGAAGACAGCCAGGGAGACCTCAGGCAGAGAGGAGAGGGAGGAGAGACAGAGAGGGTGAGTCAGGAAGTGGAGAGAGCTGGGAGAAGAGACGGGGAAGGTGGATGAGAGGGAGGGAAGGCGGAAATGGAGATGGCAAGAAAGAGGTAAGGGTAGTCAGGAAACCCCTGTTGGGGAGCATGGAGGGAAAGAGAGATTTAGAGAGGCAGGTGGAGAGCAGAGAGCAGGGATTCCAAGAACACAGAGCCAGACCCAGGGAGAGGCAGAGAGGGAACTGAGGAGGAAGAAGAGAGGAAAAGATAGGGAGAGGGCAATGGTGGGTGATGGGCTGGGGCACATGGGGCACACAGGGAGCCCCCAGAGCTAAACTGACCCTCTGAACCTCCTCCATCCCTTTCAGTGTCTGGGCTGCCTGCCCGACAGGGTGGGAATCCATTCCTACCCTGCACCCCACCTCTAGCCCTACAGCCAGCCTCATCCTGGGGCCTGGCCCTCCCACAGCTGCACAGCAACTCCAGGAACACTCACATCCGGCCCCTCTGGGACAGGAGTGTCTGCCTGTGTTTATGTCCCTGCCCTCCAGAGGCCTCTGCTGTTGGGGCTGCATCAGCTGTCTGGGGATGTGGGTGGGTCTGACCTGGGGTAGGACTAAGGGCCCCCCATTAAGCCTGGGCTGACTCCCTTCACCCTACCCTGGTCCAGATCATCTCAGGAACCCAATCTGTCAGCCACAGCAGTTTATTATCTGTCCAGCCATGATTTCCTCCCCCCAAGTTTGAATAAAGGAGCCCATGGGAATAGCTAGAGGAAGATAGTGGAGAGGAAGTGGTGAATGCTAATGGAATGAAAGCTAGAGTGGGAAATGACAGCCAGGGGCTGGGGGAAGGGGCCTGAGCACCTCTGGAAGGAATCTCCAAGTCCACCTCACCCCAGGACTGGGAGAGAGCGTGGCAAGGCCCCCTGAGCTCTCCTGACTCACCTATCTTCTCCCAGGGGTGGTATTGCCCCTCCTGGGGTGTTGGGAAATCTCAGAGGGTGCAGTGCTGGTTGCTATGTGCACCAGTCAGTCTGGGTCCAATCAGGAGAAAGAAACCACTCAGCAATTGGAACAGGGAAGTTCAATGTAAAGGATTAACTATACAGGCTGTCTGGTTAGCTCACTTGGTTAGAGCACGGTGCTGATAACACCAGGATCACGGGTTCAGATCCCCATACCAGCCAGCCACCTAAAGGGGGAAAAAAGTTTACCATAACACGGGCTTGGAGTAACGAGAAACTGGCTGTAAGAGGGGCCTTCTTGTGGAACATAGTTAGGGTGGATGGGTATGCCTGTCGAACATGATTATTCCAATCCAACATTTCCATCTCCCTAAGTATGTTGGTTTCCCTTTGTCCATATTATGCCAGAGCTGTCCTAGTCTCTCAGCCTCATTAGCTGTAGGCCACTGTTGGGTCCAAGTTCCAGTCAGCCAACCAAGTAAGCTGTTAGACCACTTCCAGCTGCACAAGGTAATCCATTAAATCTGGAATCTTGTATACCACTGAATTTGGCCTGAGCTAATGTTATATCCACCCTATTGGTCTAACACCCTGAGAATCTACTCCTACACACATTTTCCAGGTTTCCCGACTGTAACTATATATATCTGCAAAGTCTTGTTCTTTAGTGTATTAGCTGTTTCCTCCTTGGTCCTAGTGGGCAGCTGTACCCCTGGAGCAAGTTGAGATTTGACCATAGATATGGCACCAGGGGGTACTTGTGGTGTCTTAAGACTAAACACCCTCTTTCAAGGCATCTGCCCCAGGTGAGATCATCAGGCACAGGATGGCTGGTGGGCTCCTCAGACACTGGTAAGGGTGACTCGGAGTAACTTGGGAGTTCCAGATTGTCTGTATGCCCTGGGTCCAACAAGATGACCCCATTCCAAAGAAGAACTTCGGGGCTATCATGGAAGCTCTTTAGTTCTCAGACTGGCGCTGAGATAACAGACCTGAGCTTGTCGTTGTCTATTTATAAGCATTCAAGGGCACTTCAAAGAACCCACCCAACACTCTGGTCTTAAGAATTGTCACAACTGTCATGCACAGCAGCTACAAGGGCTCCTAGGGCAGGTGCTTCGGTTGTACCTCATCATTGTCCACCACAGGTAAGAGCTGGACTGTGCTATCACTGCATGCTGTGGATATCTAGCCTCCCGTTTCCCATCAGCAAGATGCTCAGTGCTGCACTCAAGCCCAGAGGCAAAACCCTAACAGTCCCCGAATCTCATGAGTCTATCTCCCGGGACATTGTCTGGATCCAATCAGGAGAGAAAACCCACACAGTAATTTGAAAAGGGAAAGTTTAATATAAAGAATTATTGACTTTAACAGTGAATTGGATAACCAGGGATTCATTGGTAAATGCCTTGGAATCAGCTGGGGTGCTGGGGAAAGTGGTTCACAGAGCAGTGCCTCAGCAGAGGCACTATGCCTCCTATGAAAGTGCTGGTGGATGAGGGGTGGCAGGGGAAGCTGCTGACCATCTGGCACTTCAGGAGCTGTGTACTGGGGAAACCACATGCACTGCAGGACACAGACGCTGGAGAAGTTGCATGTGTGGCAGGAGCACACCAAACTGAACCAGAACCGGGGAGCAAAGTCCTTTCCTCCTGTAATGTCTCCCAAGCGCCCTCTACTGACAAAGCCTATTATGCCAGTTGGCAAAGGAAAAATATTTCAAAAACCCAGACCCATTTTCACAGGGAAGACGAAAAAGTTGAACGTGCAGCACAGAGTCAATAAATTGGTAACCAGCAACACCACGGGATTTGGGGTGCTACTGGTCTTTAGTGAGCGTGGGCCAAGGATGCCGCACATCCTACAGTGAGAACAGTCCTGCAGGGGAAGCACCATCCCTGTAAAGTGCCATAGCACCCCCCTGTATCAGTCAAGGTCCCCGCAAGAAACAGCAGCACACTCATGAGGACAGTTTGAGAAGAGTCTCTTGACAAGGTGTAGGCCAGGTGTGGGGAAACCACGAGGGTGAGTGTGCAGCTCTCTGAGGCTACTTGCAGCCTGGAGCCTTTCCCTCCACACACCTCTCAGGAGTGTGAACTCCAGCCAAGGACAGCCAGGAATAAACACCCTGACCTCATGCTCTCCTTCCCTCTGATCTGCCAGTGCCACACCCCACCCCGCATGTTGAGTGAACCCAACTGGAAGTGTGCAGAGCTGTTGGACATTCCACATAGCCCCACTGAGGTCCTGCTTGAGTGGGGAGGGGGCTGAAGGCTAGGCTGTGTCCCGAGGCTGCTCCTCCAACTCTAACTTCAGGCTCTGGGCCCAGTCAACCCCCAGAACCTCACAGTTGGGCAGCATCTCTTCCACCAAGATCTGAGTGAGGCCTGGGTTGGCCACGGAAGGGAGGTCTGAGATATCCAGTCTGCGGAGGTTCCTGAAAGTGGGCAAGAGGGGCAGGAGGCTGGCATAAGGATAGTGTGTGAGTGTGTTTGAGTGAGTGTGAGTGTGTGTGTGTGTGTGTGTGTGTGTGTGTATGGGGGATGGGTACTGGCCCCAATTTCAACCCCTACTTTCCTAAAATAAAAATAAATCTTTACAGCTGTCCAAGTACATGAAAGCCACTGTGTTAATTACAAATATGTACCTCTGGTTTCTCTGGTTCTGCAACAGTGTAAACATCATGGAGTTTTTATTACAACAAAAAGGAAGAAAACCCAGGAGTCTTTTCATTCTCCCAGAGACTCCTGTGGGAGTGTTCATCTGTGCTTACCCACCACAAACACTCTCAGTTTGTGGAATATGGGGAACTGCCCAATAGCACCCCCTCCACCCCAATTTCTCTCCTTCATCTGTGTT